ACAATTTACAGATGCATATATCCTCGCCGAACACTGTCGCCGCCGAACTGTAGAGCAAGCGAAAGAATGATGATTTATCATCCTTCCGATGCTGTATCGTCCGGCAGCGACAGTGTTCAGCGAGCAAATTTGAACCTCCCAGAAATTACGACCATAAATCCCTCGCTCAGTTGAAGCCCCTGTGCACAATGATCCAAAAATACAAATTTTAGGATACCAAAAGCCATACAAAAGCTTTCATTCAATTCACAATGGTACTTACGTTAAGACCTCCCCGGCAAACGCTCTCGAAGGCAGCTTTCGGGATCGCTGCTTTCCCCTTCTCGCCCTTCCGGTTGCGGATTCTCGATAGGGCAGGGCGAGGAGGTTCGAGTTTCCAAGAAGGCCACCATAAAGCCTTCGCTCATCAGCTGAAGCGTCTGTGCACAATGATCCAAAAATACAAAAAGTTTAGGGAACCAAAACGCCATACAATGCATGTCATGTCACAATGATGCTTTACCTCAAGAACGGTGTTTGGTATTTGGAGGTTGACCCCTCCGCTGTTCAGCTATTTGCCGAACAGCTTGAAAAGCGGCTTTGGGTACCATTTCCCCTCCCGGCCCGTTTGGTTGCGGATTTCCGTCAATATAGCTGGTGACATGAAACAAACCCAAATGTCAACTCACTCAGTGGACAAACATTATGCTGGAACATACCTTGCTCGGCACGATTCCGATGGTTGATCCGGCGGTTGCACGCCGTCTGGCTGTTTTATGAAATGGAAATATGAGAATCAAACAAGTTTGGCCGTCTGGATGACATTCATACACATCCTTCCTCTGCCTGCTGAGAACCTCTGTCGCTGGCCAGCTGGTGAGTCCCAGAAACGAAATGGTTCAGATTCTGATTATGATTCTGATGCCATATAAATAAATGATTGAGAAGGCAGGAAGAAGAAAAAGAGTCTAATGACAGATGATTGAAAGGCGAGGAAGAGGAAAGAGTCCAGCGACAATATATAATCGTTCAGCCAGGAGTACCAAGCCCTCACCAAGTGAGACAGTGTCATTTGACCCATCTCTTTCATCAATTGAAACCGAGTCATCAGGTTTATCGTCGATTTAAGGTGAATCACATACCTCCGCTTCATACCTATAATTCAATTCAACCCGCTTGACAGGTGAATATTGACTTGTCCCAATGAGTGTGAATGTTTCTAATGTTTTCCTTTTGCCCGCCGTTGCAAGTAAATGACTGAAAGGCAGGAGGAAAAAAGAGTCTAGCACCAATATGATTGTTCAATTGATATGTTCGCAAAGTCCGTGTGAAATAGATCTGATTGGTGACGTTGCATGAAATTGACGTCCACCCCACTCCCACTCACGTAAACACCTCCACAGAGTCTACAGCTTGCGTCGATGATAATCAAATTCTTTTACTTTGAGACAAGAATATATTTAATATATGCAAATACAGATCATGCACAGAGACTTAAATTTTAAACTTGTTTGTATTTATCTTCGGAGTGTAATGATCCAAAATACAAAGTTTTAGGATATCCAAACAAAGCTTCATCATGTCACAATGATACTTACATCAAATACCCTCTGACGTATCTGGAGGCTGCCTCCGCCTAATTCTTGCAACATGGTTGGGCGCTGCTGCATCTTGTCCCCCGCCCCTTTGCAGGCGGGATTCTGACGATACAATTGGTGGCATGAATAACACACCCAACGAAATGTCAAAGACAAAGATTAGACTGTCACGTACCTTGCGCTGTTTCTTACCCGGCGCGGCTTCCGATGGTGCGCGCCATTTGGGTTCCTTTTATGACATGGAAAATTACGAGAATCAACAAATTTTGGCAGTCTGGATGACATTCATGTAACTTACGTACCTGCTGAGATGTGTGTCTCCCAGCCGGCGACTCCTGTGACTCTAAAAAAGGCTCAGGAGCTGTGAAACAAAACACACAAAAAAAACTGTCAATCCGCTCAGTGGGCGAAATATGCTAGTGTCGCTTTGTTTCTGGGCGGTTTCCCCGCCCCCCTGGGTTAATTCTATCCACCAGGCAAATTACGGATAATCAAGAATCTTGGCCAGTCTGCAAGTCTAAAATGGACGATATTCATGTTCACATACTTCGGGTGCCCGCTGAGGGCCTCTATTGCGACGACGTAGCTGGAGAGTTCCAGTAGGTATGACTTCTGATCTTTCCCTATGGTTCTCCATTACAAACAAATGATTGAAAAAAGTGGGAAGAAAAAGATTCTAGCGCCAATATGATCGTTCAACCAAAAAGCTTAACAGGACAGATCTGATTGGTCACGTGCGCATAATGCAAACCGAAGCTACCCAGCAAGCTCATCGCATCCAGGGGCTATAGCTTGGTTGATAAACAAATCAAAAAAGTATCGACCTACCAGTACTACAAGTATTGTACTGGCGTGATCCTACATGACCAAACATGTCCATAACTCTTTATCGGACTTCAGGCCGTCTCAGATCAGCTGTTTTCCTCTACTGTTCAGTGGTATTAAATACTAATTTTACATACTTCAGAAATACAGAAAAATAGGCGAGATACTTTCAATGCATCGCATAATAAATTCTGTCCATGTACTCTGTAACAAATCCAGCAATATTTGCTATTCTAGTATTAAGGAAATGGGTGATAGTTGTGGCAACCGTGTTGGCGCGACCAGGAGTCCATAATAAAAAGGCGCGTCCTGCATCTCCATCCAACTTGGGCGCCCGACGCGTGGGATCATGTGGAATCACGCTTGTCACAACACGACCTCTCCATCTAGCCATCATCTCGCATCATGGACAACCCTTCTAACCCTTCAGCCCAAGAAAACCAAGAAAATCCACCCGCTTATGGGGACGTGGTATTCAGCGAGGAAGAAGAGCGGGACCGCAAGAGAACGCAGGCTCGGATCTTTGCCAGTGCAGAGTAAGTCGTCAATCCACGTGGTTTGGCTTCGGTTGTAGTTGACAAAATGTACATACGTTTCGTTTTAGAGCTGTGAGGAGAGTTTATGGTGACTGTATAGCGAAACTTACTGTCGACGATAAAGGGATTCGATTCAGTTTGAAATGAGGCCCTGGAAGCTGCCAGCCATACGACGTTGCATCGATAAGAAGTGCATCCTGGAAGAATGTAAAGGTTAATGGCAATCTTATAATACAACCTGAAAAACATATGCTACTCTTGTGACTAAAAGCACGACTACCTGACCGTGAATTGCATCCATCTACTAATGCTCTGTCTTTTGGTGTCATCTTGACGAGGCATGTTTCTTTTCGGCAATGTTCAGAGCTGAGCCAGGCATAGCTATCACTACATGATCAACCTCGAAGACTTGTACAAAATGTACACCTCCTACATATCTCTTTGTCGGACATGAGGCAAGGGTCTCACATCGACTGTTTCCTCTGCTGTTCAACGTAATAGACTAGTTCTACATGCTTTAAAATATGTATAAAATACATCGTCGGCCATATCAAAACGAAATTTGGGGTTACTAGTATACTTGTCTTTTGGACGCCTCTGATCACGTGGGATCACGCCAGTACACCTTCAGTCGCCATCGTTTGGACTACACGCTTTGACGCCCAGGTTTTTCCCCCATTTCACGGTACGATTTACTCGCCAATTCAGCGTACTGTACTCGATTTACTCGCCAATTCAGTGTACTGTACTCGATTTACTCGCCAATTCAGTGTACTGTACTCGTTTTACTCGCCAATTCACTGTACTCATGGATACCAAACCCTCAAGTACCTTGGAGGAAAATAGTTAGTCGTCAGTCTTGAATGCATATTAGTATCTCGTTGGCTCATTTCAAATTCTCGGTCCAGCGATTACTACTGGCGCCGAAAGCCCACCAGATTATACGGACGTGGTCGACCAGGTTGCACATGAAGAAGAGCGAGACAGGGCTCGTATGAGAGATTATATGGAGTAGGTAGTCAGTCCATTTGGCCCGGCTCGGGTTTTAATTGACAACATGTATTACCCGCGTATAGAGTGATGATGACGAGCTATGGTGACAGGGTGGCGAAAGTTATTATTGACGATCAAGGTGTTCGATTCATTTTGAAATGATGGTGGCAAAAGTCTATACAGTTCGCAAATTGTCCGGTGATTACGTTGATACGACTTGTAATTCGCACTTATGTAGGAGTGGTAATGTGCACATACTGTACACGAGCCAGAGCTAGGGTAAAAACAAATATATTTATTTAAAAAAATGTATATACATCATTTCAAAACAAAGCTAAAACCATCCTGATCCAGCCGAACCACCGCCGCACGGTCACCTAAAACCCTGTAACGAATTTGATAAATAATCTGTAATAAAAAGCTAGAGAAGTCAATGGTTACTTACTCCATAGCATCTATTAAACGCGCCTTCATGCGTCTCCTGTCTGCCTCTTGATCCTTTTCTACTTGTTCCGTCCAGACCCTTTTCTTCCTTTCTAAAGTTTGGGAATATAATAAATGATAAATCAGGAATACACACAAAAGCGCGACTTAGCTGGAAATGGGATCCGTCTATCGAACGACGAATACGAAATGACCAACGACTTGATGCCTAGTACTTCAACGCAACCGCCGCATTCGGTATGATGCAACCAACCGACCCCACTCCGCTTGCCACTGTGCCGCAACCTGCTTTGAACCATACCGCCACAACTGGGTTGGTAGAAGGAGGAACCACTCCCCAGTCCGCTTGCCACTGCGTCCCAACATGCTTTGAACCACACCGCCACAACTGGGTTGGTAGAAGGAGGAACCACTCCCCAGTCCGCTTGCCACTGCACCCAAGTTGGTCACAGCAGGAGAGAAAGGCAGAGTGATATCGCTTGCCGCTACGCCCAGGTGCTTTGAATATAGCCGCCGCAAGTCAGATCACAGCAGGAGAGAAAGGCAGAGTAATATCGCTTGCCGCTACGTCCAATTGCTTTGAATATAGCCGCCACAGGTCGAATTACAGCAGGAGGGAATGGCCACCGATTGACTGACCAGGCCGAATGCTTTAGCTGGTCTCCATACTAATCGATGGTAAGAACGCAAATCGAAGTCCTGCGGTTATGGGAATCCATCTCCAGACGGTGAAAGTCATAAGGCCAAATATCATGAATACAATATTACCTTCAAGCGCTTCTTGAACCAGGTCTGCATAATTCGGAGGTGCATCCAGAACTGAAAGCATGCATTCAGTAAATTTGCGATATGAGGAAATAAGAATGAGAAACCAACTCTACTAACCAATTATGCCCAAACATCTCAAAGTGTTTTCCAGATCCAAACTAGAAGAGCAGCACTCTTCCAGACCCAGTCTTCGACCTGATTTACTATGAATAATAAAGTTGTTAACTTCATATTGCCCATCGCTGATGATTCTTAAATGGTCAAGAATATCAGAAAGAGCCTTATCTTCTGGTCTCAAAACTATAGTGACTCTGGTCCGTCCACCGCGAACTGGGCATGCAGTCACTTTCCATAAGCACGGGAAAGGTAACTGCAGAACCTCCCGCATATAATACTCATCATCCTTTACAGCCTCATCACTATAAAGAACAATCGTAATATGAGTTGCATCGGTTGGTAGTCTTACGGCCGGCTTGTCCATGGACCAAGTTGGATAGAGATGCCGGACGCGCAGTGTGCGCCTTTTGTATGGACTACTGGTCGGCACAACTCGGGCCGGATTCACGCGACTTGCCACGCGTCTGTAAATCAAATATAACTCCTATATATCCATTGCACAACATTGACCCATTTTAAGACTAGAATAGCAAATACTGCTGGATTTGTTACAGAGTACATTTATATCATTTATTATCCAATGCATTGAAAGTATCTCGCCTGTTTTTCTGTATTTTAAAAGCATGTAATATTAGTATTCAATACCACTGAACAGTAGAGGAAAACAGCTGATCTGAGACGGCTGCCTGCGTGATGTCCGATGTTAAAATTTATGGACGCTACTATATTACAAAACAATTAGACACGCGTGTATTAACATAAATTACCAGGGGCACACCAATGAACCGCGTGCAGCCAATCAGAGGTCAGGACTGGTGTACTGTGGTACTGCACTTGTATTATCACTCTAGCAAACGTGTGCTAGTGATTGGGGGTGGTTTCCTCCTTCTACCAACCCAGTTGTGGCGGTATATTTCAGGGCATGTTGGCCAAATGACAAACTTACTGACTAGGTGACGAGAAGCAAAAAGACAATCATTTTGAAATGTAGGGGCTCAGCCGGGAATCGAACCCGGGACCACCCGCACCCTAAGCGGGTATTATACCACTAAACCACTGAGCCTGGTTGCCCTGGAACGACAGATCATAACCACATGAACAATTCGATGTCTTGAGAACGTTGAGATCATCTCGTCACTTGTCACCAGGTCTGCTTCTCGTATGTGTTCCTACGATGGCCTTGCGTCCGCAATGGCTCGTAAGTGTGCACTGCCTCCTCCGAGGGGTACTCAGTGCACACTAATAAACTGCCATGGCAGGCTCTCTCCGCCGAGTGGTACACTACCACTGAATGGGCCGTTTACGTTTGATTGAGTGGCTTTCGATTGCTAACGGTGTCTTCGTAGCTCGCAGCGGTACTGTCCTGCTGTTACCCCCAGCAGCTTTTGAAGAGTTGCAAGCATATGCCCCTTGCCCGTTGTGCCTGTTCTTAGTATTTTAATGTTTATGATTCTTCTGATTCATTTGAAGGGCTGAATGTTATGCTCGGCCAGTCCAAATCACTTTTTTGCGCATTACAGCCCTTGGGGTTGACACAACCTGCACCTATTCTCAAATTGTACATATGTAACACACCTGGGTTATTTCATTAAACGCTGGCATTGAAAGAGAGCTTCTAGAGACAAAAGTAATCAGTCAGGAGGGCTTCTCGATATACTCCCATTTCCTCTTCCCAGTCCAGCAACGGGCTCATTTCTGTTCGATTTGTTTCGAGCTCGATCATTGTATCTGCTGTGGCAGCGTATGGGAGGTTTCCGTCCTGCGAAGTGTGGGAATATGTTATCTCTGACGTGGCGATAACTCTCTCTTTCTCGACAAGAATGAGGGTCTGGACCAGTTTGAGGCTTGAGTGTTTTTGTTCATGGACTTTACGCCTTTGACAGAACACCTGAATTTGATCTTTGAGACTTTCGTCCGGGGATTTTGTGTAGAGTATGCAATTATTGCGCTCCTCTGCGATATGTCGCCGGAGATATCATCATTGTTGTATAGATTCCTGGAACGAAATGCATGTGTCGGCATGAAGGTATAGGATGGGAATGGGGGTTGTGTTCTTTTACTCATCAAGCCAGTAGCGCGTTTCGTCAAAGCGATTGTTTAGTGAGGGCTTTTGTCTAAATATGTAAGTTGACGCTGATGGCATCCCATAATGATGAGGTTTTGCTTTTGATGGATGATGATGAATTGTCTGTACGAATGGGAGTTTGAGCTGGAGGGCTTTGTCGAGAGGTGCAAGTGAGGCTGACCGTCAGCAGACGTATCGTCACGCATACATGCACACATCTCCATAGTCTATAAAAGCAACATTTTTCTGTCGCTTTCGTTCTTCTTCCACCCATATCATTGTCATTCGTCCTTTGCTGCCATGTCCACCCCCGGCCAAAAAAAGAAGCTACAGCTCAACGTGGATGTCGATCCACACCATGAAATGATACATCTCCCCCAAAACAATGATTTCCCGGTCAATGTCCTCCGTTACACATATCTCCCAGTAAAAATCAACTACGCAATTTCGAACTTAGCACCATGCTGGATCACCATTCAACTGCCGAGGCAGGCATCATTAAGATTACACGCCCTTCAGCAATCATACATTCTATGGCATCCCGATGAAATCAGCAATAGGGATATGTTCAGTTTCATCAACTGGACTTCACAAGTAAGAATGATATAACTTGCAAAAGTATGGTTTGCTTATTTGATATGCTAACATTCGATTATAGGGTTACCGAAACTCCATGGATCCCAGAATGTCAGGACCGCCGCAAATAGTCCCGCAAACCTACCAGCCGTTCGCGATTCACCGCTTCACAAGCCCGCACAACCCGGAAATGAACGCGTATTGGAGGATTGGTACGGTGCTGAGCATCCCAGTTGTACGGGCGACATCGTTAGCATCCTATAAAAGGGGATCCTCGAGCGTACATTTGATTAGGGCTCCGTCAGCCTCGGAACCGCCTTCAGCTCGTGCGGCAGTCAGTTTTACGGAAGGTCATCCGCCCACTACCTTAGTTTCTCCCTCTACTTCCACCGAAGGTCTATCCCCCCCAAATGTAGTGGTTTCTCCCTCTACTTCCACCGAAGGTTTATCTCCTGCGACCGCAGTAGTTGCTACCCCTACTTCCACCGAAAATCCTTCCCCCGCTGCCCCCGAGCTCAACCTCCCTCCAGTCCTCACAAATTTGTACGGAGAACTCGATCACGAGCTCTTTGCAGAGCTCTACCCTGGGGAATGGGGATTCTAAAGATCTAAGATGTTGTTTTGAAGGGAAATGCTCATCATCATTGACTGGTTTTTTTGCAGCCATCGGAATAGTGAAAGCAGAATATCGCAAAACCGTGGGGAAGATGCAAAAAAAAAGAAGTGAAATACATGCAATCTTGTATTGTTTTGCATAAATACATTATTTCATGCTCGTTAGCTTGGGTGCATCTTTTCGATCTGAAACAGCATGGAAACCGCATGTTGGCTTTGGTGCCGACTTGATCCTTACACGCTACTGAGTCCTCAAAATGGTACCGAGTGCTCTCGTTAGATATCAGATAGTTCATAGAGTTAACAGCTTGGAGCATGGGAGCATCAAACTATGAATGTCCAAGTCTCTTCTGGGCAAGATCCCCCGTTGCAAATGCACATAAAACACCCATTCAATACAAGTCCAGTAGGCAGCCAACACACTCCACAAACTGGTTTCAAGAACGTCACAAGAAAAAAAGTATATACATCAGCAAGCAATATTTCACCGCCTTGCACAGTGCACTGCTCCCATCTTTCCTCTACACTCTGCTGTACATACTGCTCTCGCAGGGGACCGAACCGCCTCTGCAACCAAATGCCGATCAGGGTTCTCATGAACAGGAAGATCGATCCCTTGATACATTCCTCGTACAATCGGATGAAGCTCTTGAGGGGGCGATGGGGTGCGAGGTTTAGCAGGGGATCTGGTGGGTGAGCGGCTTGTCGGACGGACATGGCCGGCTGTCATGGACTTTCCGTTTGCAATAAGGTTACGAGTTCGTTTGATAGTAGTTGTTAATATCAGGTTTCCGTTGGCGATGCAGTGAGCTGTATCTAGAATACGCAGGCCGCAATCATAAGTACTGGAGAGGAAGCGAAACGGATTATTCTGTAACGACAGTACCTTCTTCACGTCTGGTTGTTTGACCCCCAGATATAATGTCGCCCTTACCCTCAGTACACCCTTGACTCTGTCGTCTACCCCCACATAGCGATATGGATATCTGCTTCCCGTTTCTGGCCATCTTACTACCAACCGACAAAGATCTTTTCACCAAGGAATCCACCTTTAACAGGGGACGGTCTTCCTGGCTTTGACTCTTTGCCGGTGGCTCCATGAGGAGGAGGGCAACGACAGTGGAAGGGTTCTAGCCACCATCACTGTGTAATATATATTATGGGGGCTTGATGGACGATGGGGCAAATAAACGGGTGCAAACGACGCGGCTTACGCAATCGATCGAGGCGCATTTTGCAATGCTACTTTATTTAGGGTCATCCCATGTGTATTTAACGGCTTGAATGGGGTTATGCCAATAGTTGAGCTTTTTGAGTATGGTTACGGTTATCATGTCAACAGCAGTGGTTTCAAGGCTGATTAGTTTCCCCCATTGACAATGTAAACATGCCTACGGCAATTTTCTGTGGCCTTCTCGTATAAATAACATTTGTTTCGGCAATCTGCGTTGCTTTACTAGAATGCTTTGGTTGACAGCATAGTGGCTTTCATATCCTGTTTCTTTTATTGTGTACGGCGCACTGTGAGGTAGCGACCCGCAGCGGTCCATCACAAAAAACGTCCATATCGTTAGATATTCATTCAAACTCGGCAAGAAATGTCGGAAAAAGGTGCTAAAACGCATCCATATTCATAGAAAATCCTATATACAAAATTTCTGTTCTACAATGTGTAGCTCCTCACGTCCTCTGTTGTCTATTTGATCCGATCAATCTTTCTTGTCGTATTTCTAATCCTCTCCCCAGTACGGTCCGTACGATCTGATATCCTCCCAATCATATCCCTCTGCGAGTCCAACTCGGTGTTCATGCTCTGACTCATCATCTTCAATCTCTGCAAGCCGGACGAAATTTGATCCAGATTGTTGTCGATTTCCTCCTCTGTATTATCATGTTCGATACCTTGAGGAGTGGAATACATTCCACGAGTCGATGACATGTAGTTTGCATTGCGAATGGACTGGAAGCGCTCGTCACGAGCTTGTCGGTCCCGCTCAAGAGCGGATTCGTCACGAGTTGAGCGTTCGGCGTTTTCTCGTTTAGCAGCCTCTTCTCGCTCTCTTGCTTTCTTGCCACCAAAGGACGGTAGGAAAAAGTACCGATTGAGGGATTTTAAATGATCTGCTTTAGAGTCGCTGACTTTGACATGCTGTTCAGCGCTTTCGAGACGGCTGTTGACCTTGTAAAGCTGTTCCGACTGTTGGTTCAGTCTTGTTAAATTGGAGGTAGCAATAGCATCGGTCTCGTTTAAACGCTGTAAGGCACGACGGGTACTCTGGAGGGAATCGTTTTGGACTTTTTTTGTCTTGCGTTGCAACCAGTCGGTGTTGTCATAGTCTTCTGGTTCGTCGTCCACAGTCTCCCAAGAACGATAGCCTGTCGACGACCTGTTCCCATCCGCAGCTTGCGCAGCAGCTGCCGCCCAGCGGTTACCAGCTGGTTGCGGTGGTGCTACTTCACCGCCGTAATCTCTCCAGGACATGACTGGCTTTGTTCAAAGAGGTGTGCACGCAAAGGACAAGCTCAAGGTCGACTCTAGACAAGCCGGGGACCTTTTTCCATTTCATCCTTTTATTTCAATCCTGTTATTTCGATCCTTTTGAAATTTTCACTACATTTCCTTCGTCGTTTGATGGAAATAGTAGTGACACTTGGGGGGCTGTTTGGCCACATTGTCTCCATTTTCCGTTGCCCGTCCGATTTACTTTCAACTCCAATTCTGGATAATAATCATTTAGACCCAATTGAAACCATGAAATTTAACTATATGAGGTATTATGACGGCGGCACAGTCACATGACACTAGCGGCAAAGTGCAACGTGAAACTGTGTTGGAGAGTGCGACTGATGAGCTCGAATTTCCGTTGTCTGATCGGTTGGCCATCAAGGAAAGTGCCACTTTTGAATGGTTTTCTGGACGTTGAGTGCCAGCACCTTGCTCTTCAGTCCCCGGACAGATTCGGGGCAAAACATTAGGTGAAAGGCCAAAAGCACCATGCTTTTTGGCACCGCACGATTGCAACAGTTTCAACTTTTGAAGGTGGCCTTCCCAGCCGAACAGCAAGGACAGTAGATCTACTCTTGCGCTAGACGGGGACCTGAAAATGCAAATGATGCATTGCTCTTAAATGCCCTTGATTGTGATGATAGCAAGCGACCAAGACTCTCGTTCACGGAAGAGGATACTGCCCAGTCGGCACCAGCTACAGAGTCTTTGTAGTTTGTAGAATGGGAGACGGTATTTGCTAGAGATTGAACGAGTGAACCAAAATTTCAAAGATAATGGGAGTTCGATTCTTATGTCTCCTTTTCTATTTCAACAATGATATGGTGATGCTTTGGCAGTCTCATCAATTGAATATTGGTAAAACACTAGCCTTTGATCATGAGTGTTTTGTACGCTGGCAAATGGATTAGTCTACAATTTGTCACATTTATCTTCACTGAGATGCAAAAGTAGATTCGTACACTTGTGCGAAATGAACCTTGCCTTTGGTCGCTAACCGCTTGTACGTAATGTGCCCAGAAGTTTAGTGAACAAGCAAAACTCTCGCTCACGGAAGAAGAGACTGTTGGGTCGACGCCGACCCGTGTAGTGTCCAAATATCTGTGCGAAATAAAACTATTGATACTTTTACATGAATGTACTGGTGGTTTACCTGTCCTGTGATTCCTGGTCATTATCTTGTAACAAAGAAATACCTGCTGATATTTTTCAATGTTCTTTTGTTTAGCGAAACTGACTTGCTAAATCAAGTCATATGATTATGGCACAGTCACCAAGATTACGTTGTATCCAATATCCACTTGTTTGTAAGGCACATGTCCAAGCAAATGAAACGCGTCTGGACTCCGATAACAAAGCGCGATAGGAAGGGAGAGGGCGGACGACAACGACGGGCGATGAGGTGCTGCAACTAGAGCGACTAGCATATATTTAAGCGAAAAGACGTTCCTCCCATACTTTGAACAGATTTTAAGTTTGCATGCTGTAACCCATGTTGGGTACCTTATCCTCGTTCGCTGTCGTTGTTTCGCTCCTTCTCTCTACTCCTTCCTTACAAGTTACTGCCCATGGCTTCCCTGCTCAGCACACTCTCGGACGGCCGCTTCATATAGAGCACGTACAGCTGTCGGGATCTCTGTTGTTACCGCGACCCAAGCGCCCTACACGCCCTACACCGAGGTTATGTTCCCAGGCTCCAGTTGAAGCGGGTGACCGTCGCGAAAACAAGGACGAGCTTACTGTTGGAAATTTCAACGCTGAATGGCTCTTCATCAATGGTGGCACAGGTGGACTGGTGTGTCCGGGAAGATCTTGTCCTTGGAAGGTATGTGGCATCTCATCAAATCGTATCCCAATGGAGAGCGTCGAATTGACCTGTCTTGGTCACAGAACAAGAAAATGGCATTAGAGCATTTCTCCCGGGTGGCAAAGACAATTGCTGCGATGGGTCTTCCGGATATTGTCCACCTTAGCGAAGTCGAAAGCTGTGATGCCCTTGACAAGTTGATTGAGGTTCTGGAAGCAGAGAATACGGCCGCCAAAGGAGCATATCGCGCGTACCTAGTTCCTGGGCGGGACACAGCCCTAGGGCAACAAGTGGGCTTCATCACCAAGGTAGACCCGATTATCGATGTGATCCGCACCGACGAGCGTGTTCTCTACCCCATCAAAGGATCCCTGTGTGGCTTCACCAAACCCGGTTCACCTCCTCAGATGTACGGATCAACAAAGAACTACTTTGCCAGGTTCCAAGTCAATGAGATACCCATCCTCCTCAGCGGAAATCACTTTATTGCGTACCCTGACAAACGCGACCGATGCGAAAAGGTAATGCTTTAGAATATTCTTCGATGAGATCCGTTAACTGACGTTGAGATGCGCAGCGCGAGGCACAAGCATCGGTGATCTCCAATGCCATTCAACGACATCTTTTGACACAATCTCACGATGAGGTCATCGTGCTGGGTGACTTTAATGACTATGATGATGAGGTGGTGGATGCCGCAGGAGAACTCGATCATCCCATCAGCAAGGTAAAAGCGCTGTTCGTCAGCTGAACAGTTGTCCTATGACCAAATTTCTTACCACGGATGTGTCAATTCAGGCATTATCAACCCTCCGCACCGCCACAAATCCACCCCTTTTCAACATAGCTAACTTGTGGGAAAACCAAACAGAGCGTTACACAAACTGGTATGACCGCAACAGGGACTGCAAGGACGATGGGGGAAACGAACACGTCTTGATCGACCACGTTCTCATCAGTCGAGGTTTGCGCGATCGTCTTGTGGACAGCTATCCATTACACAATTATAAACAGTACTGTGGAACGTTAGATTCAGATCATTGGCCTATATTCGCTAGGTTTGATGTTCGAAAGGATAGAGGGATCTGAGGATATCGTAGTCTGACGATTTTCTACCTATGGTTTTTATGGACTATTTTTTATTCTACATGTTAGAGTATTGGTATTAATTTGACATTTGAAAAAATATGAGAGTGCTGCTGTAATCAAGGGATTTCACATTCCACCATGATCAGCAATCTTTTTCCATGCGTCTCCGCCCGTTTCCGTGAAAAAGGGATTTAAAATGTAATACTGATCACGATTCCTTCTCATGCGACAACGGATCAGCCGCCTACTTCCGATTTGCTTCCAAATTACCTTTGAAATTATTGTTCGATGGAGTTGCTGGGAACAGTGTCATTCGAAAATGTCCTGACAGGTCTAGGTTTGTCGCGCTTTAAATTAAGTCATTCACTAGTGTGGTCCACCCCTGACGGCGGTCCAGGCCAAGGAAAACTTCTATGCATCCTGCATGTTATCCTGCATGTTAAAAGCTTGAAGCCTTGATTCCTTTTTCCTGTATCATGCACAAAGTACGGAAATCTCGTGTCGGCTTCGTGCCCCGTTGGATCAAGGCAGTTTTTGGGAAACAAGCGTCAAAGTCCACCCTCGACGATAGCGATTCTGTACATCACCTTCCAACCATCACTGCCGTCGCCATTGTACATGTAAAAATAGAGGATATTGAACAAGCCGGTTTCCGGCCACGACCCAAATTGGAAACGATACCCGAGGTTTACGAGAAACGAAAATCGGATCGTCCGAATTGTGACCGCCAGGACAGTGGAGTAGAGATGATGACGACGGATTACTTTGCAAAAAGGTCCCCGTCCCTTTCCCTGTTAAAGAGCCATGTTCGATCGAATAAAACAAGAGGCACGCTCCGCAGCAGGTCGTGCACCTATTCCAAGGTATAAGTAAATCGACCTGAACAGAGGCTTGCTCAGAACGTCTGCTACAATCTGGATATTTTCTGGAAAACATTGAAGTGAGAAAAGGGAGCCCATTAATTGTGTTGTATAGTCATGGACGTCATGGAATATTGTATATTCTCTTAGCTAGCAATGATCTTGGAAGATGTCATATACATGGGTATAGCATGAGCTGGAGCTGTATAAAGGGCCATCATCAGTTGGGGAGTCATATACTGGAGCAGCAGAATAAACACTGGAGCATCGTTAAGAAATAAAAGCTTGTATCTGAGTTTCTATATCACTTTTTACTGCGACCTCCGTCGAAGAACCCCTCATCAACATAGTGTGGAGGTGATTGAAAATGGCACTAGGACCCATTATTATCCGGATTAATCCGGTTAATCATATCGCATAATCAGAACCCCCATCTATTGCTCAAAGCGGTGTGGCATGCTAATGTAACTTTTTTTTTAAACTGCGGTGAGGCGCATGCCAAAGGTCTATAAAAGGGGGGCCTTTTCCCTCTTTCCTCTTTTCCCATCCTCGACTCAAAGCATCCGCCCAACAAGTCTCAGTCCATCATGAGAATATTGCTCTGGTGCCGAGGACCTCGTCCGCCCGACAACGACAACAACATAACCCCTTGCAAACACTGCTACTACTATGCTGCAACGATCGCAGGTATGCATTATCTTTGTATTTTCCCACGCGTATTCCGAGTCTAATTCTGGTTTAATTAGTATCTGAACATCCTCCGACTAAAGAATTTCGGAATCAAGGGCTTAGTAGGATTTCTCTCGTGGTGGTGGGCGCTAGTTACCCGGTTAGAACAACCGTAATGTATTGCATGTGTAATTGGGCCTAGTAGTAGTTGGTTGGTTGTAAGGAGGGAATTACTTGGCTTTTCCGAACCAGTTATCGCTGGTTTATTCCCTGGTGTAGTAGCTAGTGCCAGTTTCTGTCACCTAATACACTAAGCGCGTGAGACGGGGCTTTGCTTACCCTTTGACCCACAGCACCGCTTCGCCCGCAATCGTTTTGCTTTCAACTTCCGACCCGCCCAAACACTACCAAGACATTGCTATACCGTCGCTTCTCACAATCGATCGGAGAGGGCTCCTCTCCAACACACCCTCCTGACTGTCAATTGCGCCTAAAACTCCGCTGAAGAGAAACATCATGTACAGCATTGTCATTCTCATCCTCGTCGCACTAGGATTTCTCGTCCTGGGGCTTTTACAATACTTTGGAGACTTTCGAAAACTGCCATGGTACGCACTACTTGTGGCCTTTTTGGCGTGGCTTTTCCCATTCTCTTTACCCCTCATACTACCGTTGGACTTGGCATCGGTGAGTTGCATTGGGAACTTGCTTTTGAGTAGCATTTCAATCAGGTCCACCGCTGAACAAGCACCTCTCACTGGTTTTTAGACCCATTATCGGAAGTGCGTGGAGGATGCGAATGCGATCAGATGTGACCGGCCGTTAGCCTATGTCTCCGAAGGATTTTTGCGCACCTTTTGGCAGATTGTGTATTGGACAATGTTCTGTTTGACATGGTAACTTCGTTCAGTGTGCGCAAAGGGCTCCATCTGGAGTACAGTAAACTCATGAGAAATTGCATCAGGTTCACCATTCCTCTTATGCAAACGTGGATCCGTGCGGGCGACTTTCGTTTCGGCCGTCGGCTCTGGGCATCACTGAAAGATAATCTGGTGTACTACGGTGGCCTCGGAGCTGTTGGACTGGTGTTCCTCATCTACACATTAGTTGTGATGCATATCAATAAGTAGGTGCTTCGAAAATCACTGCAAGCGTCGCACAACCATCTGATGCCACATGTCCGTAGAGATACACTTCTTTCAATGGGCATTGCTGCGGCGAATGCATGGGGTCTGCTTTTAAGCACCGTTATGATGGGATATGGCTTGGTGGAGATTCCACGGACGCTATGGTTTGATGCGAACACCCAGTGGTGCCTGAGATACATGGAGTTTACGGCGCCGCGAGTGAAGGAGAGTATGGTGGACGCTGAAGCCGATCTGTATGACGTTTCCAGGGTATTACTATTGTCTTTTCCGGATTGATGCGTCGTACGAAATATGGTCGTTAATATCTATCGATTAGGAAATTGCTATAGCATCGAGGAAAATAGAGCTTGGCGACGCTCTGCGGCCCCTTGTTGACAAGCTCATGGAAAAAGTTAGTGACATAAACTCATAAACCGCTGGACTGTAGAGTAACGAATCGAATCTTCTGCTCTTCCAGTGCCCATTAGCGTTAGAGGAGCGCAATATTGATCGAGAGGAGATGGTAGCGACTGTCAATGAGGATTACCTTATTAGCCTGCATGCACGGATAAAACGAGCTGTTAAAGTTTTGGATCGAACGCAAGCGCAGTACCAGTTTTTGCTGCAGAAGGCCTTCCTGTACCAGGACGTTATTGAAAATTATCGAAACAAGGATAGGTCCGTGGTCTTCTGCCGCGCCTTGGTTACGTTCAGCTGATCTGATCTGACATTTTGGCTGCAGAAAATTCCAGTCTACGCTTGTCACCGTATCCGAAGATCGCTTTAAGGATATAAAACTTCGATCATGTACGTTATTTTGATGTTAAACAACTACTGCACCTTACAGGTGTATAATATTGGCCTTTCAGATTGGTGGTATTATGTCTGGATTCGTCCTATCGCTCTCCGCTTTCTCAGTATCATTGCGGTGCTGGCCTCCCTGGCCGTCATTTGGTCGGAATCGACCTTCCAAGTGGAGAGTGTCACATTATCCGTGCCAGCCGTGATTTTAAAGTCGCCATATATTGGATATGTTGCTTTGGAGGTATTCGCTGTTTTTTTAAGTAGAGCATCAACTACTACGGACCCTGACAAAACTTTTCTCAGCTTGTTGCAATGGGCTTCATTTTGTACATGTGTGTTTGCGCATATTCAACCCTCTTCAAGATCAAATTTTTCGATTACTACCTGGTACCAGAACATCATACAGATGAAGGAAGCTTGCTCTTCATTGGGAGTTACCTATGGTGCGTGATATGATCTTGACAGTGGTATTCGGCTCTCTTTGATCAGTATCCGAATCTCATTCATTTCATCTCACAGCAAGCTGACCTTTCCACTTTGTTATAATTTCCTAAACATGGTCACTGACGATGAGACCATGTTTGTAACCGTACGTTATATCTACCATTTTTTTTTCCTCGTCAGGGACATACTTGCTCGGGAACTTGCTTACTAAAATGTCTTTCCTTTAGTATCAGGGAAAAGCCGTCAGCTTAACGCCTCTTTTGGGTGAAGGATACAACAAGTGGCTGCCAGAAATCGTTCTTATTTTTGCGCTTCTGACGCTCTTCAATATGCACGGACGGCTCCTGCGACTGTTTAAAATCAAACATTATTCATATTATGAGGCCATTGCGCCGAATGATGCGGATATTGAAGAAGGACGACAAATTATTGAGCAAGGTCAGTTGCCACAGGATTGCATCGTGTATCATATTAACGGCTGACGAGTGAATATGATTCACAGCCCGTGCCGTTGAAGAGCGTAAACGAACTGGTGGCACGATCGATTCCCGATTCTCAAATGACATTACATCCACGTCGCGACAAAGCCGAATTGGAAGCACGCGAACAGCTGGAACAGCAAAGGATTTGCTAGCAAAGTACAAATCAGGTGGTAGATTTGGGCGAGGGGCACCGAGCAACGATATTAATTCGACCGTCAATGTACCTGCGGGTACGGCTGATGGCACCAACGCGGGTGGTCTGTGGACGTTCAAAAAGGCCAACCCGTTCAAAGGGTTTGGCTTGTCGGCATTAAAATCACCGGCCGCCCCAACAGACGGAGGTGGAAAGTTCCAGCGACTTGAGGAAGACTTGGAATCTGTGGGTGGACGAGAAGGATTTGGTAGCAGAGAGTCTCTAAAGACAAACAATCAAACAAAAAGTGGTCGCAAGTTTGGTGTGGTATCTGGGACATCCACAGCATCAAAAACAGATAGCGGAGGTGGGGGATGGGGAGGGCTTGGATCAAACTGGAGTGATGAAAACAAGACTGCTGGGAGTGCTGGTGCGCAGAAAACACCCCCATCATCTCGAAAAGCAGGACCAGCCAAAGCACCGACCAAGAATATTTTTGATGGCGTGTAATCACCTCATTATTTTTTTTTCATAATATATAAGTTTTTGTGTACGTGATTCTATATGCATAAAAATTGAATTATGTACTGTATAACAAATGAGACTACATGTAACAATGAGGTAGTAACAGTTCCAAAATGTCCATAACGTCTTTTACGCCGACGTCAACGCAACTGGAGGCGGCGTCACCGGTCCAGCCGATGAGTCCACCCCAGCTCCCGGCGCCGCAGGAGTCCAATTACTCTTCTGTGCCTCAAAAGCCGCCAACGACCTCCGTCGCTTGACATGCCACCATATCGCCCATCCAAGAGTCGCCAAGAACGCCAAACAAGAAACCACAATCGCCGCAATAACAATTCCCGCCAACCCAGATCCACGACCAGAATCCAATCCAAGTCCATCCGGCCACACAATATCCACAGCCAACATACCCCCACCATCCTCCCCTCCTAATGCTTTCCAAGTATACTCTCCATAGAGATCCACATTATTCCCCCGCTCTTCTTGGGACCAATTACACCCAACAGCCGGACAAAAATCCACAATAAAAGCCTCCAATTCTACTCCATTGACTCGACTTTTGATCCGCACTTTTTGGAAACACACCCGAGTCTTATCGGCAGGTGTGCTCGCATACACCGCTTCCGATACCGCAACCGTAGCCTGTTTTGGCCATACGGTTTGATTGTACACTGGGTTTTGGTAAACGCCTTTGGAGAGGATGTCGTTCCAGCGAGGGTCTCCGCCGGGCTCTCCGGTTGAACAGCCTACACCAACATCATTGGGGAGGTATCCAAATTCGGATTGGGCCGGAACGGAGGGGTAAGGGCCGTAATGGGTTGCATGACCTGACCTCCAGTTAGCGGCGGTTGTGGAGTGAATGAGGACGAGGACTAATAGTGTCAAGAACAACTCGGAAGCTTGTTTCACTGCCATGATATTTACGTCCAGAAGGGACCCTCGGTTTGCAGTTGAATTCCAAACATGAAAGTCAAATGCAAACTTGGGGAAACAGCAAATACAGTTTGTGCTGAACCGCGATGACACAACAACCGTTTTGCTGGTTAAATGTTGCAACCGGTTCATTGGTGCTTCGAATGAACTCCCAAGAAAAAAAATCCTTCAGGTTGGGGTGGACGCTCCCGGCCAGGGTCGAACTGGCAACCTCTCGGTAGCTATACGAGATAACAGCCGAACGCGCTAACCAATTGCGCCACGGAAGCTTGAAATCAGTGAGTTGACTTGAAACTTATGTTGGTGATAAAACACAATCAGTCGTTGAGTATCAACAAAGCAGAGGTGTAAAGTGGTATTTTGTACACATATGTGGGAACCACGAGCTTAAACGTAACTTCAAGGCTTCTATTGATTATCAAAATGTACATGGTTGAAGCGACAGAAACTGAAAGTAAAATCGCATAATTACAAATTACACAGAGTGAATACTCATACAACCTTTCGCCTATATGGTACATTCTAGCAACGCCAACACTACACAATCATCTCCACCCAGGCCTTCCATAAGGCCTTCCATGCGATGGTGGGATGGGTGGGAACCCACCGCCAGCTCCCATATGATGCCTTCCTGAGCCTGGGCCGCCGCCATACATTGGCATGGGCGGTCTTGGACCACCATAGAACTCCATGTCCCATTCCATAGGACCTCCGTATGGTCCACCGGCCGGCGGTCGCACACCAAACCCGGCACCGCTGTACGGCATTCCCATTCCAGCAGCAGCAGAAAGTGCTGGCGTTCTTGCGGCGCCATTGGCTGCAGGCCGTGGTTTGGCGTAAGGGCTGGCTCGCAGTTGTTGTTGCTGTTGTAGACGGTTGGCCGATACACGTATTGGCCCCACGGTTCCAGTTCCAAGGGTGGGTGTCCCTTGAGGACTTTGATGGGTGCTCCGAAGTGCATTTGCGGCGCGTGCTTCTTTCGGGTCTCTCGGGACGTGTCGGAAGGGGTTTTTTCTCTGTGCTGGATCAGCAAAGGCAACTGTCGGCTTTTTACCGTGTATTTCACTGCCAGATGTAGATGCACAAACATGCGAAATCACCCGTCAATGCATGGACTAAAACAGTGATCAGCAATCGCAGGGCGCCAACCTACATCATCTCCAGCATTCCCTTCACGGTCTTCGCAGCGTCTGGCGTTTGAAAGGTCATATATGCAATCCCGCGCGATTTCCCATTGACCTTATGCTCCTGGAAGGTAGTCTCTGTTGCCACCAATTGGTCACCAACACCAGCATCTACAGCAATCGAGCGGAGGTCCTCATCGCTTGTCCACTAGCGAAAAATATGTTAAAGTTCGCACTCTACGCATTCGCTCCTTGTATGAATACAAACCCATGTTAGATCGCCGACTATGATGCCTGTCGGTCCTGATGGAGTATTTGTCGATGATTGGGAGTGCAGAGCGTTTTGACCGGTGAGATGTGATTGATGCCCGCCGCTTGAGTCAAGGTCTTTCGAATCGGGCGTTTCAACCGCCGATTTCCCTTCAAAGTCAAGAGCTGCTTGTGCTTCCTCGTGTTCAGCTTGTTACAAAAGGGAGTTTGTATCAATATTGCATCTATTTGTCTTTGATAGACGTGGTCTTACCATTCATCCCAAAACTCAACACGTCGTCCTCAACGTACGTGTTCAATTGTGGCTCATCTGCATTCGTTGACAATAGGTCATCGTAAAGAAGGTCGCTCTGCTCAGTCAAATCGGGTATAAGGTCAAAGCACAAATCGAACAGTCGATTAACCACCTAAAACTTACCGATTTTGAAACGAATGGATCATCTCCATACAGATCAAAAGCTTCGTCGTCCGCCATTATTAGCTATTCTTAATTACAGTCTCTGGAGAGGCTGTACAGCTGTGTTCCCGCGATGATCGGGACGTTCCTGAAAGAATTACAAGTGTTCCTGCGGGAGAGGGAGCTTTCAGCATAGATCCAAGGGACAAGTGTTATCAGGAATTGGAAACAATTTTATTGCTGCCTGTTAGAAAGGAACTATACACTTGCTGTGTTTACATGCGATAGCAACATACGAGTAATACCGCACAGGTCATAGTAGCTCCCTCCAGTACATACGACTCACTCCGTACCTCATGACAAATTGCCCGACCAACATCCAAAGCATTTACAGCCTATTAAATACACTCCTCCCCATGGATACCACACCGAAACGCATACTGACAATATGCCCGCTTTCATATACCCTCCCTGCGTCCCTCATCTAGGTACAAGAAAACTTTCCGTGTCAACCGATTGACTTACCACGGGCGCTAGCCTACGGAATTGCTGCACACTATGACGAACACCAAATATGTACAAAAATATATCGTGCAGGTTATGAAGCGTCGGAATCGGCAGTGGGACGCTGTTGACAGCAAAAGCAGAGGGTGAACAGGCGACGGAACGGTTGACAGGCCATGCGGGGGGATTTGGCGTTTGATGGCCGATTCACGTGACGGCGGCCACACCAAGCCTGATTGCGTAAGTCGTATAAACAAAGGGTGACCAAATGAAGGGTTTACCTAGTCCAGACTCAAGACCGTTTATGGTGTCGTCACATCCTTCACATATGCGCTGAGCGGCGACCTCCTCAAATTACTGTGCCGTCCAGTACTTTATGGATTTCCAAACAAATGTATGAAAGGAATGTTACTCTTGCCGCGGCCTTGCTGAATGCGCTGAAAGATAGGTCTGGCCGCCCAGCCAGCATCCTCCGTCTGCACTCGAGTTGCAGGTATACCGGTGTTGCGACCCTTGTCATTACCAGAATACGTTATTATTTTGTGTTGTAAACAGACAAATATATATCTCAAGCAGGAGGATTATTCAAATACAATGAGTTGAACTCCAAAAATGAACGCTTACTTCTTTAATATTTCACATTTGCGTAATATGCGACATGTAAAGGCGTGCGGGCAGACGCAGCACTAGTGCCTTTTCAAACTTGGGGGCATTCGCGTATAATATCGTTGATTCCTGGATTGTTTCCACCATTCTCTCAATTTTGCAAGTGGAGCCTCCGTGTCAGTCGTAACTTGTATAATAAATACCTCAATGAATCCCATTGACGAGCAAACGTGATTCAGTTCCTAATCTAGTAGCACTTTTCCTTATCTATTGGTGTTGATCGAGGAGATATCTTGCCTTATTTTTACCAAGTGACAATGCACGATAAGCATTATTAGCTCCGAACATCGGTAATATATTTAGTTTTCATCTTTTGGATGTTCAGAAACTTACCGAACGGCACTTTGAAAAATGACCCAGCCTAGCCAAGCTGCGAGCAATTACGAAACCGGCATGCTTCAATTTCGCACTAACGAGTCTTTGCCCGTACCGAACATTATGTCACAAAATCCAATTTATTGATATATATATTCAAAGTGCCCATTCTCGTTCACCAGCATCTACATACCCATCTCAACCTCCTGTGTGTAGCCTCTCTGTACTCCCCCCAGCCTGGCCAACATTTTCCAAATGCTCCTGCCACGTCGGCGGAAACACGTATTCGGGCAACTCCTCACGTCGTGCTTCTCTGAAACCGTATGCGCGAGGTGGGCCAGGAACGGCCATTGGTAGCGGTTGACGGGGGAGAGATGTTGGGAGCGGCTGCTGCGGAGGTGGGATTGCTCTGGGAAGGCCCTGGAATGTCCACCACTTGTGGTTATGATTGCGACGGTACCAAAATAATAGACCGGCAAGGAGAGCTACGGCTGCTGTCGACCCCACAACTGCTCCTGCTATTTTACCAGAGTTGCTAGACACTTGATCTTGGGGAGGGCCTGCTAGCACGCTCTCAGTTGAAGATGCAGATGGTGTCGGTGCTCCTTGAGGTTCGGCAATCGGTGGTTTCATGTCGTCAGGCGACGTGGTAGACGTTGACGTTGGAGTTGGTATCGATGGCTGGACAAGTGGGGTACTTCCACCTGGATTTTGAAGGTCTATTACAAAGTCCGTCAGGTGGCTGCACTGGCAAACACCTGTCAAGGTTGTCTCATTCAATGCGGCCAAGGTGCATCCGTCTGTCGACCATCGCCCTCCATCTTTCACATAGTCAAACCATGCACAAACAAGTGATGATCCAGGCTGCGCCTGCTGCCGAGCGAGAATCTCACGATCGACACCAAGAGTAATATTAATGCTTTGGTCTGGCAGTGAGATATTCAAGGGCACCATGGGCGTGCTTCCGTACAACGATAAGCTAGTGAGGTTGCTTCCAAGACCCGCCATGGCAGCTGTGCCCACTGATGATGTGAGCGCATTACTATTTACTACGGCACAGCTGAACTTGAGACAAGAACCACTGCTAACCGGACTAGCTGAGGCAGGAAGGTTGAACCGCCCGCAGAAGTCCAAATGGCCAGTAGAAGGATCGACTTGAGCGATTCCCACCGTTTTGTTTACAAATTGTTGATCGACGGTGAAAACAGGTCCACCACACGTTAACGTTCGATACACACAGCTTTCAATCCTCTTCATGATTCCATCCAGCTGTGTGATAATTCTATAATCCCCTTCATCTGGATGATGTGTTAGTGAGCCCATCACTGCATCCAAAACCTTCATTGCATCATTCGTAGCTGCGCTTCCAACACAGTTTCCCGCCCCTCGGGTGGTCTCGTCAATCTGTGTCATAACGGCATTCAAAGAACTCAGTAGCCTGGTAGTAATATTCGTCGTAAGATTGTAACAGTCCATTGTCATGGATTGCAGCGCGTGCAACATATAAGGGCCTCCAGATTGGGCGTCCATGTAAATGCTTCCAGAGTTGAGAAGGTAGCCAAAAAATGTGAGGAGAGTATCGTGGTACGCAGTATTCAGCAACTCTGGGCTCAGATCTTGAATAGCCACAACAAGGTTGGTTTGAGCTGTTCGGTAGTCGGAGGTGGCTAGATAGCTCTCTATAGAAGCGTTCAGAAAGGCGAAGGCCGTGACGGCGGGTTCTGAAATTGGCTGCACCTGTCGCCTAGTGAGGCGAGGTCTGACCGTCAGCCTGTAGACGGGTTGTAGAGCACCAACAGAGCCTGCAGCATCTGTAACGTTGACTGTAACTTCATATGTTCCCTCCGCGAGCACCGTGTCGAGCACGGAAAATTGTGAGCGTGGGCCCAAATTGCTCCAGGGTATGTCACCGACTTTTCGAATCCAATAGGTGTAGAACAGGGGATTCGATTGAGGATCCGTGACCCACCCAGCGCAACTTATCCTGAATACCGACTGATAGGCGAGTCCATCGGTAGCATTCAAAGAACAGTATCCAGCAAACGGTGCTTCCCGAACAGACACCACTATAGACGCTTGACCAATAGCGTTCCGTGCCGTATCATTCGCGAACACAGTGAAGCAATACTTTCCAGCCGCTAGCAGGGTTTGTGGCAGGAAACGGAGGGTTGGTGCACCTGGCTGCCATTGCACCTTGGACGTGTCCGCCACGTCTACCGTGGAGAAGATGTCTCCGTGACAAGATTCGTTGGAAAACCAAGAATACCTCACCTTGTCAACACCATTGAGAACAGAGATTGGGTTGACGCCTGCGCGTAGCTCGTACAAGTCCCAGCGCGAAGGGTATGGCATATTTGGGGTAACGGTAACTAGCGGGATCCACTGGTCGATTACATCGACGAACATTGGTGCTCCACTCTCGTCTGTCGAGCTGATAGCTCCAGTACCGATCCGTACGGTCTCTAAAGTAAAAGCATATCTTCCTGTATCTAAGTAGCCAGTGATATCGGCACCAGTACAGATGGCGGGAATAGAAGCTCCTTGCCCTGTCTCTTCTTTGATGCATGGAGTCCCGAAAGGTTCTCCCACTCGGGTGCAATTCCATATACAAGTAAAGTCAGAGATGTTGACATTACTGGGCGGATAGCCACTGTCAAAAAGTGTCGTTGATAGAAGCAATGGAGACTGAGAAGCATTCTTATTCGTTCCACCACCGGCTAACACCTCTGTGATGGTAACTGGCATGACTCGATCCAGCTCTGTCGTAAACGTGTAATTCAACGTCCACAGCGTTGGACTAGGTTCATCCGTGAACTTAGCACGAGCTATAAAGGAGTATCGACTTTGATGACTCAAAGAATACGCTTCCATTGTAACCATTGTGCCATTTGCCGTAGAAATGAGTACGTCTTGCGATTCCCATTGAAAACTCACTGGTCGGAGAGCTCCACATGTCGCAGCAACCTCGGCCGTTATAGTGTGCAACTGGTCCAATGGAGCATCGTTGGCCGGACCCGTTATAGTAACATAAGGAATATCTCGCCGGTCAAATTTCTCTAATATGAAGGTCGACGTTCCAACTCCTCCAAGGAAGTTCCTTAAGGTAAAGGTGAATTGGTATCTTCCAACAGGGATTTTGGATGCCGCAATAGTGTACACCAGCTCATTACGCAAAATGAAAGCTTTGGCAAACGCGGTCAGCTCTGCTTGCAGTGAATCTACAGCGGGGGCGACACTGAAAGTGCTTTGATTGAAATTACGTCCAGCCGATCCCATCGACCTCGACAGATCAAAAGTCACATCAGAGCAGCTGCCAATGATTTGCGGTGCCTTAACAAGTACGGTAGGACGCACGATGCGGTTCGGCGAAAGAATTCCCTCAACGATGGTAGACCCCGTCCCTGTCTCGCTCAGCTCCTCACCTGCTGTCCACACTGCACCTGGCTTTAGTGACAGCGAGTCACCTGCCACCACTGGGGAAAGGCCAGCTTCAATTATCTTCTGGGCTTCACTCGCACCAATGATAATCCTAAAAGTCCTTGCATCCATTCGCTGGATATAACATTCTGCATTTGCTTGGGTGACCCACAAGCGTCCTGTCCCTCCATTAGGATTCAGGAACATCTTTTCACAAGTAAAGGTTTCCCGACCGTTTAGAGCACTAATCAAGGTGGAATGACTGGCTTTGGGATCCACTGCGAAGAGATTTGCGTCGTACACTGTCACCGGCCGATCATACCGAAACTCGATTGCTCCGGTTATAGTAAAACGAGCATAGATGACCTTTGGAGGACCGGCACGGTAATACAGCAATAGGGGTTGCCCAACTACAGTACTGACATAGTCAGTTGGCCGGTTATAGTCGGTAGAGTTTCTGCCGCCAAAAGACGAGAGATCCCGCTGAGGTGTATAGTAGAGAAGATTCACTTCCAGGATACCGCTTCCATACATATCAGGGGCAAGGCAGGTATAGGTTCCGTTATCATACGTAGCGTTTGTTGCTGATATTCTGGTGGCATTAAACACGCAAAGTGCTTGCCCTACTGGGGGGAGCAAATTGATTCCTGTTATATGCACTGGGCTGCCCACTCCAATGGTCACCTTGCTCGGCGAAACTATCGTTGCTATTGACTTCACGGGATCCACCCACCGCACATCCCTTACGGTGTCGGCGGCTCCTCTAATGGAGATAATGAGGGAGCCGTTACGGTACACGTCGCCATTTAAGCTAATGGCATCGGTATCGACGGTGACTGCGACAACTGAATCTGACAAAGTTGTCACGGTGGTTGCTCCAGCTGGAATGGTGATATTTGTGAAACTGACAGAGAACTCGGCCGCTCGCAAGATCGAAAAGCCATTTCCTGAAAGTATAATATTTTGTCGACCACGGTTTGTGTACAGAGTGGGTGGTTCGATGGCCGTAACTGTAATTGGGGAAGGCGCAATAGCAGACGGAAGAGGCGTTGGCGCAAATGTACTCGAGGTGGCAGAGCCGGCAGTGGAAGAGTGTCCCGATGCCGAGGAAGAGACAGTTATCGGGGTAGAGGTAGTGATGGGGGCGGAGGAAGATGACGATGAGGATGCAGTACCAAATGACGCTGAAGATGATGGGAAAGCATTGGTACTGGAGGGGGAGAGACTCGACGATGAGTCCCACGTTGATGTAGCACTCGATTGGGGTGAAGAACTGAGACTTGTCGCTGTGGCTGATGCTGACGTAGATAGCAATCCAGTGGGCACACTTCCTGCAGATGCCTGCCGTCCCAACACATCTGACAATGCAATGTCTAGTGTTATAGAGTCTACCCTACCACTGACAACGGCAGAGCGGGAAACCTGAAGCAGAATAGCCAAACAGACCAGCGAGAGAACTTGACCAAGCATCATTCCACAGTCACGGACCCAGTGACGAATTTCCGCAAGGCGCTCTGCTACCCCAGATATTTCAAGGGTAAACGCACCAGATTCCAACTGCTCTGCATAGGCCGTCCAATTCCATCAAACGTTCTATACTCAGAAGATATAATATATAATACAATCAACAATAGGGAGACTGAATGATATGGCCCTTGACGAGCGGATCGGAGTGTTAATTATCAAGTAAGCATCCGATGTATCCCTATTTGGCCTAATGAGTCCATAGAGTGCTCAACCCAGGCTTGAGTACATTCTATTTAAAGCACACGACTTGGACTATTACAAGCAGGGACTGCACTTGGCTTGTGATGCCGGGCAGTTTCAATTTGGATAACCCATCACAGAGCTAACAGTAAATGATATGTGCAATGGTCCAAATCGGATGTTTCCCGCTGCTGCCATTTAAGGCTCTTTCGAATCTCTGCCATGACACCCTGGGTGATATGAATGAGCAAGCACTGTAGCGCCTAGCGTATCGGACAAGTGTTGCTGTCACCGGAATGGGCGATGCACCAAACTCCGACAAAGCCCACAAAGTTTCTAGCCGGATCCAACCAGCTATCTGGGCAGCCATGTGACCTGTGTGGGACGAAGCCGCAAAAGGCAAGAAATCCAAGAAATCGGTACAAGCAAACCACGGCTTTTGCAAGTTGAACGTGGGAAAAAAACAGACGAAGCTTGGGGAATTGGACGACAAACGGAGTTGGCGAGCTGCTGCCGATTGAAGCCGGGCATCTTAAATTATCAGTAGGAAACTGGTAGGTGGACAAGGGCATATCCTTGTGCAAAAGAATGGCTGGTACTCAAAAAGTTCAATTGGATAGAACTTGTATTGTAGACACACAATCCTCAATACGCCCTTTGTGGCTCACGAGTGAATGCGCGAATCAGGACAGCCTGGACGATACCCACCGACTGCAATGCAACATTTGCCACGCACGTCGTCTCCCCTTGTAAATGGGGAGCAAGGGCAAGGTAAACAGGCTGCGAAACCAAAGGTGAGGCTTTTAAGGGTCATATGAAAAATAGGTTCCGTAAGGGTCTTGGGGGTAGTGAAGTAGACCTATGGTTCGGGCAACTGTGGCTTCTAGGGACAGTCTTTATTGTGGATTCATCCGGAGATCTGGGAAACCGCTGACTGACTTGTGTGTTTTTTTGACACTAGAAGAAACAAAGCTTTGATTCTGAAGTGAATTCACGCGTACGAACGTCCTCCCTCAAAGCCGTACACATTGCTCATGGCCCCCAAGGTCGGATCCAACCCTTAAGCATCCAGACGAAACTCATCCACGAGAAACAACTACTTCCACCGCTTTCTCCGCCACCGAGTGGAGCTCTCCCTTCAATCCCGAACCGTGCATTCGTCAGCGGCGATAGTCAGTATCTGGCAAGCAATCACAAACATGGAGTCCCGCCTACACACCGCCAGTATCTTAATGGCGCTAGATCAGAAGAATTTAGAGGTAGAGGAGATCAACATGGAGTGAATAGACAGCAGACGCGTGATAATCGCCGCTCGCGCTCACTCTCCCCTGCTCGCATGCGTTCCTATATTGACGGCAATGCGTCTTATGGGCCACCCGGAGGCACGTTTGACCATACTTCTGGTGAACGACCTTCATCGTCTGCAACAGGCCTCTTCAGTCAATATGGCCACGACTCCATGTATGCTCCGGTAGCAATGGAAGTGCGGGGCTCCTTCATATCACCACCGATGGAATCTGTTCGGGGCTCGTTACCTCCACCACCGAGGAAGAACTCGGAAAAGCAGGACACAACCGGCTCCCAAACAAGTTCTGGTGCATCGGAAGCGTCCGTGTCCTCCTCAGTTGTCCGCCAAAAGGCAGAGACTGAGGAAACTGTAGATAATGAGATCGAGTCGCCGAAAACCAGAACCGTTTTATTAGATGATGCAACCTTGGACTTACCGTTTGGAAAGGCAGGAACAGAGTCACCTGGATCCACAGAGCAGTCACCCAAAATGCGTGCTTCTGTATTGGAGATGGGCAATCCACAGGCGAATATAAGTATGATACATATGCGATCTGAACCGGGTGCGGGCGCTGGCGCCTACGCTAAGGCATTGGAGGAAAATAACCGACACGGTCGTGGATCACCTGCTTTACTTGAACGTCACCCTCATCGGTACGAACCCGGTAGTGGGCGATCACGAGCGGATTCCAATCTCTCATCGCAGAGTTATCATCGCGGGTCACCGGTTGCCACGGCGGCAGAGCGAAGCATGTCACACACAGTGTACAACAAGCCTCCTCAGTATCAGGACTCTCCTGAACGAGATAGCCAAATGATAGACACAAGAAATACCTTCTCAATGCAGCCTCCTGCACATGATGCGAAATCCCACTCGGTTGTGCCAACCGAGAATGAATTCACCTCTATGATTTTCTCTGGATATTTGTTGAAGCAGAACCGACATAAACGGTTTCAAAAGCGGTAAGCAGTGTATCTGGGTAATTGACCTCTTTGCACTATTTTCTGATTAATCTTCATTGGCAGCCTCTTCCGGTTCGACGGAGTACTCCTCATTTGTCTATCGCCAAAAGAATACCGTCTCCCTGCAAACTCCAATTTGCTTACATTTTCCCCCGACAAATTCCAAGACAACAACATGGGACGAGAATTTGCCCAAGCCCTGCAGCGCTTCTATCCCACCGATCCACCAATGCCTAGTTTAACTAACCCGCTTGTTGCTTCAATTGGAGAAGATAACAAGGACGGCAAGCCAGATGTATGGGCAAAAGGGTACTACCTACCCAAGTGGATCATTCCTACATCATCGATCATAAGCGTGAGATCACTTGTCAGGCAACCGCCTAAAGATCCTGAAGCCAAAAAGTCACGCACATTCATCGTTCGTACAAAGTCAAAAGATTATGTTCTATGTGCGCCCTCTGCTCAAGAATTTAAACGCTGGACGTTCCTTTTAACAAGAATGAGCAGAGGGGTCGCTTCTGACGACGAGGGAAGTGGAAGCGATATGGCCTCTGCATCCAAGAGACCTGGTTCCCCGAGGTATGGGGCCCGAAGAGTGGTCAAAAATGGCTTTGTAGACGCGGCTGCGGGTAAACGCCTTAGGGATGACACACTTCGCTGGCCGAAACATCCTAGCGTGCACAAGGTAGGAGCGTGGCGGCAGAGTTTGCGAGAGTTGGTGGAAAGGGATCAAGGTGCTGGTGGGGCAGTTGTCCACGTTTCCGCGGCGCCGCAGGCGGCAGCAGTATTGAGCAACGGATCTGTCCCGGTGAACGGAAATCTGAAGAGTGATGAGATGAGGCAAACGCTAGTGCCATCAGTACCTCCTCCCGTTTCAACAAATGTTTACGCACAACCATCCCGCGGAGTTGAGCAGCAGTCCGGAACCCCACCCCCGTCTCCCAAGCAAAATCCTTCTAGTATTCCGTCGACGCCAACGGTTCGGGAGGAAACTTATCAACCCGCGATCCCACCGGCCAAACCTGCTCCAACTAGTGCGCTACCGTTACCGACCACTCCTCTGCCATCAACACCCGTAGCGCCGCCCCCGGCAACAACCAGCATGATTGTGTCTCGGGCCGTCTCTATTCCTGATCTCAAGGAACTGGAAGATGAACTCATGGGACTGGTCCGTGTTCCTGCTGCGGAATCTTTGGGCACGGAAGGAATGGCTGGATCCGTTTCTAGCAACTATTCACAATTTCTAGACACGGAGGAGAAGTTGCATGCCCTCTCGGTTCCTACCCAACTTGAGCCCGTTACAGTAACCATTCCGCCTCAACCGTCCATTCACGCCCCTCTCATCAACAACTGCACCACCATTCTCCGCCTCATATCGCACCTCCGCGGCGACTTCATTGCCTCTCCGACTGACCCACCTACGCCATCCACCCCAACGACCCCGTCGACAGCATTTACAACCCGATACAAAACGACATCCATACCTTATTTTTGTGACATGGTCACAGAGTATGTTGAGAGGTATTTGGAGAGCCTGCAAGGTGAAGCGGATCAAGGAGTCGAGTATGTGGCGAACCGACTTGAACGTGGTAAAATAGTTTTAGACAACTGGTGTTTGGTCTCTGAGGATTGGAAGGGCGGAATGGGCCATCTTGAGAGACTAGAGCAGGGTGTGAAGGGTATTTTAGACTTTTTTGGATAGTTTCTTTTTTTGTTGATTTTCCTCATATATTTACATTTATTGTTGACTGGATGGGAAGGGGAGTATATACTGGCGAAGGGATATTTGAGCCAAATCCCACTTTCAGTATTTATAGTAGATGAAAGTGGTCCAAATGTTGTTGGACTGTACACTTGTTCTGAGACAATTGGATTTTAGATGTAATAAGAATGCTGACTCGCGTGTAATCGTTTGATGTCCCCTTCGTTCGTTGGGATAATCGCTCATGAAACAAGCTAAAGCACTCCATTTTGAAAAAAAAAAAAACAACAGATTGAGGGCAACATCGCTTGGGCTGGTTACATGCTGAGTAAGCTTTAAAATGCAAAGCTTTTATGACGTTTTGCCAGCTGCACACAACAAGCCCCCCGTCCTGCAGGAAACATAAAAAAACTACCTTCTTCTTTTTTTTTTTTTTGAATATTTACACCCGTTAAAGCGTACATACTAGAAATCCTTAATCCTTAAACCTAAACCAGTAACGTCCAACTACTACAGCCCTTACAGTATACCACGCAGTTACAAATATCAAAGAAAGTAAGGAACAAAGCGGACAAAAGTACAGACATACAAAACATCCTGGTACATAGGGTAGAAAACCAAAACGCCTTTGAACAAAACAAAAAGCGTCCATTAAGCAATTAAAACATGTACACCTCCCTTGGGTCCTTTCCCAAAGTCAATCTCAACTACACCGTCATTGTCACAAGAGACGCAAGAGCGAGCGGGAAACTTTCCGGCACCAGCGTAAAAAGCGGATTCCCGCCTCCTTGCTCGCTCCGAGTCGACTTTGAGGAATTTCTTGAGTAATCCCAAGAACCGTTTCGTCGGGGTATCTTTCTTGTGTTTGACTGGTACCATTGCAGTCACCGGGACCTCGATGGCGATATCGTGTTGCTTTTTGTGGTACACCGCTTGTGTGGCAGCAACAGCCGCAGCGCGGGTCAAACTCTGAATGTGATGGGTGTATGCGGAATCGGGCGAGAAGCTATAACGCAGCGGGGAAGGACCTGGTCCAACAGTCGTGCCCGCCGCAAGTTTTGCTAACCGACGGCGATTGGATTTTCTTGCGGAGAACGATGGGCGTTTGGTTGGCGTGTTGATGGACCATGGGGCTTGAGTTGAATGAGCTGGGAGTGTCGGGGATGGGGGGAGGTGGGAGAGAGTTTCGACTCCCGGATGCACGGATTGGATGTATAGCATTAGATTTTGGATGGTCGTGCGGGAATGTGCGGGGCGTCGAGGGGAGAGAAGCTTTGTATACGAAAGAAGATATAATTGTTGTTCGATGTGAGCGGGCAGCCGGGCAGGTAATGGGAAACATGGCTGGATTTGCGGAAGGTTGGCTGGCAGCACATTTGGGCTTTCGGTCGGCAAAGGACTGGATTGCGGGTGGATCTTGGAGGTTGATTTGCGCTTTGGGTTCGCGTTGGCGTACTCGCTTCGCATGTCCCGCTTTTTTGGAACACTTTTCCATTCCTTCCTGCCGACAACTGGACTTGCGCTTCTGGATCGCCTACTGCGAATCTCGCCATCGGTCGTTTGCTTGCCATTTTCACCTTCTTTCCAGACGGTCAACGACCTCGATCGTCGTTTGGCGACCGTCTTGGGACCTTCCGACATCCGCGACCTTGTAACCGATGATCGCTTGTGGTAGATCATGTCGGAGCTTAGCCAGGTTCTCCTGGGTGGAGAGTACCAGGGCGATGATGATGGTGCAGATGACGATGCCGACGCGGAATTATCTAGTTTGGTAGACGTCGTGAAAAGCGCCGTGCGAAGGGAAGGTGACAGGATCTCAGACAAGATGTTGGGCTTTTCTGACGTTGAAAGAATATATGACGTATGAGAAACCCGACCGTGCAGATGGAATGCTAGGTGCTGCTTGGCCGTCATTTTCGAAATAGACATATGACTATATATTTTTGTGCTCACTGACACTTGTTTGCTGTGGTCGCAATTTCGGTAGATTCGGCAATGATAACTGATCGACCAAGCCCGGAAATGAGTGACCACCGCTATCCGCTAGGTGAGGGGGGATGAAAAAACGTGGCAAGTAGATAAGGCAGTGAAAGGCGATACCGAACGATTTGAATGTGTGTGACAGGATAGTAAGACGAAGACGGGCGGGACAGTGTGCGAAAGAAGCAAAAGACGAGGAAGGGGTAAAATGCGCCGTGGATAGAGGGAAAAGTGCATGGAAAATACGCAATAAAAAAAAGAAAATACGTCAATGCCGGAATTGTTCTTGTCACCGCCCAAGCCAAAAATGTCCCCATGTGCGTGCGTGACGGGACCTTCTCTGCCTTTAGCTTTTAGATGCCGCGCGCGCAGTAACCCTTAATATCACCTCCCCCAAATCCGTGTTCTACCCCTGAGGTTATCAAAGCCTCAAGAGTGTTCGGGATCGCCGTAGCGCGTCCAGAGGAGTTGAGCCAAATGTCAAACCACGCGTCACCAAGCACCCAGCCCTTGAGCGATTGGGGGTCCCCCCCACTGCCCATCATCGCTTTTTCAACCCAAGCCCAAACGCAAGAAATGAAATGCATGCGGGCGGCTCTTGAACGTGGCTTGTTGTCGTTTTCTTACCTTGTTGTTATATTAAAGGGATGCGGGTGACAGTTTTCTAGACGAGGGCGATGCAAGAGAGGGGAGTTGCTGTATAGCGCTGAGCTTGTCTTCTGTTCACTGCCTTCAGGGGGAAAACGTAGCAAATCTCTTTCTCCTACTCCAAAACGCCCACAGGAGCAGCAATTCTAGACAAAATCAGTTGGGTTAATCGGAAGCCATGGGCACAGCAAAAGTGAAAAAGTCACTTTTCGTTTTCCCCCATTTCCTCAAAGATGATGATGACCAAGACAAGAAGAAGGGAAACTCAAAACCACGAGGGATAGACGTCACCGATACGCACCCTGGTCAAAGATCTAAGATAGCCGCAACTTACCACCACCGTCGGTTGTGTCGCGTGTAAAAGGGTATTTTTATCTCTTGGTGACGATCGAATGATACTCCCCCCTGAAAACGTTGCGGGCAAGCTAAAAGCGACTTTATGAGATCTTGTTTGCCTCTTGACCCTTCACGAATTGCAGTTTGTGGTCGGTGCACCGCCAGCCAGCCGAAATACCGAGCAGACAAAACTAATATGCAGGGAAAAACAAACTAATTGGACAAGACAGGAGATACGTCCATACCCCTTTAGGAAGAACTTGGATTGGCGCAAACGCAGAACGCTACCGCGGGAATTGGAACAATGTGCAAAAGGTTTGACAGCTTTTAACAAATGCCGTCGTCGTGGACGTGGCGCGGATACAATGAAGAAATCTGCCTGTATGCAATTTACTCTCAAATTGGACGGAGTTTAAACGTTGTGTGTGTGTACTGTCGTAAGTTGGGGTCGGGCTTGCCTTTTGGCACATCCCCCGCCGCCGCCGTAGTAGTTCCGAGCCCTGGGCCAGAGCAGGACAAGGACACTGCCATTTTAAGAGCTAACACAGCCTCCCCACACATCACTCATCCGAACCATTCCAAAGCACATGCAGATATTGGACATTAACACCCCCTTGTCTTCTTTGATTCCTCCTGGCAGTGCTTCTTCTTCTTCTTCCTCCTCCTTCACTGCCCCCGCATGGCTTTTTTGAATTTCACACCTTGGTAATATATTTTTTTTTTGCTTTTTTGAGCCCGCCAGTTGCTTCTAATCGATAACACTGATGAGCGCTCACGTTTGGCGACAAGAAACTAACAAAGGACATTCCAATGCATTTGGGCGCGGTTGCAAGTTGATTACCCAAATGGTTTAAACGAGATCGTGCACCGCGTTTTCTTGTTGGGATTAGGCAGCTGTTCGGGAGGGAAACAAGTTGCGGATAAAAGAATAAAAGTAAAAGGGGGGGAGGGAGATCCCTGCACAGAAATGCCATTTGTCGCTTACTGCCCCGCCCCAACCATATCGTGCGTGCTAGTGGAAGAATTCACGTTCACATCGGTCGCCAAGTAAAATGGTCACGGACAACGTTTCTCCGACTAGGGCTTTGTTTGTGCCTCCCAGGTCCCTGTAGCCTTCTGAAAGGGTCCCCAGACGCTGAGGCCACACGTCAGGAGATATAAAAAGTGCTGTGCTCTTCACAGCCTCTTGTGGACATGCGGGGTTTTAAGACAAAGAGTGTGCAGAATATGTCCAGGCCCTTTGGACCGTGCTCGATATGGACTGGCTGCCACCAGAAGGCGTTACCAGTAATGTATTATTACATTGTCAAACATGCCATGCGCGTCTAAAAGTATAAAAGATCTGCTGTCCTCCTAGGCACCGTCAACTAACCCATTGCATTGCCTTCGACGGTGGGTATCGTTCCAACTGGTTTTCCTCACTGATGCATTGAGCAGTTAAATGTGGTAATACATAGCGATTGAAGAAGAGAACGGCGGCTCAGTGGTTTAGTGGTATAATACCCGCTTAGGGTGCGGGTGGTCCCGGGTTCGATTCCCGGCTGAGCCCTCGAAGTTATGTAGTGCTCATTTTTTTAATCATGGCAATATTTTGGCTCCTCTCTCGAATAATTCGTTGCTTGTGTAGAGCATTCAGGTTCCTAGTCTAATTCCTCAAGAAATGCTCTTTTCTTCGACCGCTTGCCTTGGCTCACAGTGCAATTCCCATTGATGCATTAGCTCGCATATTTCAGCGTGATATCCTGTTGTGAACAGGAACATTCCAAAATCGTATTTAAGGTTAAAGTTGTCGTGTGCGTCAATTGATGAATAAGGGGATCAGGGGGCAACCCTAAAATAATTAAGGTTTAACTTTGCCAAAATTACGGGCTGGGATCAAGGGTTGCGCATCTGCAAGGATTAGGATTCAGCAAAAAACAGCCATCTCAGCAAGAATATACGCATTACAATGAACACTTTCAAATGTATTGAAATACTACATTTACAAAAACAAAAAAAATCCAATACCAAAAATTATAAAAAAAAATCCAAACACAAATGGTATCAATCACCCTATACAAAATCCCTTCTCACCCACAACCACAACACTATTCCAACCCCTCAAGCTCCCGTCTCAAAACCTCCCGTCTCAACACCTCGCCCCTCAAAACACCCAACCTCCTAAAACACTCATCCCGCTGACGATGCACCATACCAACCCCTTTATCTCCCCGCTGCGACACCAAATTCTCAAGAACAGTAAAACCATTCAATAATTGTGTTTCGTGCGTGATTTGGGATTGGAGGGTTGAGAGAGTTGTTTGGAGGTTTTGAAGGGTTAGAGGCTAACGGTAATAATTTAGATTGCGAGTTGGGTGAGAGAGAGTGGGTGAGAGGCGTGGATTAGTTACCTGTGTTTTAGTGGCGTCGCTGGGTGGGAGAATGAGACCAGTGCCAAGGAGTGAGGACTGGCGTGCGAGTTTTGTAGAGTTTTTTTGGGCAAAGTTTAGGATCTACATGGCGAGTTCAGTACAGATTCGTGGATGAGTATATCAGATATGGGGTACATACCGCTGTCCAATGTTTATGTTCGTCTCTTCCCAGTGCGTAGAACCTATGTCGAAAGAGATTAGACAGTGTTTGTTAAAAAGACAGTGAACAAGTGCACGTACACTTTGACACCAAGAGACGTGGTAGACTTCCATGAAAGACGAATACAAAGTCCATCTTCCGGTTTGGATCCTACCCAAAACAAAAACGTCAAAAATCTAGCGAATCATTCCAAAAACAATAAAAATAACTCACCACTCTGAATCCCAACCACATCACCCACCGGCAGCGCCCACCGAAACTCGGCCTTCTTTTCCCCAGACACGACAACTTCCTCAGCACACACAATCAAATCCGTAAACAAAAATACGGTACGAAGTGTTCGTGAGTCGGCAGCGGGTCCTTGATCATTTAGTTCGAGAAGGGGGCCCTGGTGGGTTAGGTACCGGCCAGGTGTCACGAGTTCCTACAGAATGACAAAAGAAAAATATATAAGTATCGCGGCCAACGAATGTTGATATCACGGTGTGACTTACAAATGGACTCCCGATAACCATGTCCTGAACCTTTTTCATCATCTCGAACCGCTTTTTGCGTTCATTAATGATTTGGACAGTGCGTTCCATTTTCTGGAGAGCGGTGGTGAGGGAGTTATGGTCGGGGTGGGTAGATGGTGTACGCTTCAAGAGTTCCTGTTTTGAAACGGGGGTTAGATGTGCAAGGGCGTGGGAAATACGGGGTTGGTGGGTTACCTTGAGCATGAGAAGGTAGCGAGGAGGACGTTGAACTGGTGTGATGAGGAGGTCGGTCAAATTTGGGGCGCGGGTGCCCATGTTTTTGCTGATATCCTGCATCTCAAGGTGTTAGGATGCGTTATATCTCCAGCATTCTTTAGAGCGTCGTTACCTGTAGCTTTTTTTCAAAGGCTGGATTTTCTGAGACACGGTTAAGGGTTTCGACAGCTTGGTCGTAACTGAAAAGCAAGTCAGTCACATCAAAAACGGATAACTACCGCTATCTATTGGACCTACTTGTTGACAAAGTGCGCATATATTTTCATCGATTCGGCCTACATGATCCGCGCGTTAGGGCCACATACCCAATCAACTTAAACACTTGCAAGATACTTACAGCACGAATGAAAATATCCCCCAAAACCTGCTCAAAATGCCAAAACGCCACCCGCTCGACCAAATCATCCAACAAGAGCTGGTTGAACGCCATAATCTCTTCCACGTGCCGAAAGATGCAGTCATAATCCTTGCGACTGATAATGCTGCTGTTCTGATTCATTTCTTCTTTGAGTGGAATCATAAATTCCTGTCAAAAGAAAGTTAGCGCTAAAGAAACACAATGTGGGTTTGATAAATATTTACCTTGTGAATGGTCAGAAGGCCCTTCACGTAGGATGCCTCCGTGTCGAGCATTTCGTTTACAATCATCAAACGGAGTTTGATGCCTTTGAAAGTTTTCCGCGCCCTATAGCCTCGCCAGCGTGCTTGGATAATGACACATGCCTTGGCTTTGGGATCCTGAGGGAAAAACTGTAGAACGTTGAGTATCGGAAATAATAAAACAATACGCCCAGAAAGACTTCAACCTACATCGTGCCACAAGGGCGCAGAACTTGCAATACGAGGCAAGGTGAGCGCCTTTTCGGATCTAGGTCGAGCAGGTCTATCCAAAGATCCCATGACACTCCTCCTCCGCTTCTCCACATCATCCAACAAAGCCTGCGCTTCCCGTACTTCACTGTACAATCTATTCAAAACGACCGCGTCGGCATGGTTGGTTTGTTCCTCGACGATTTCCACATAGTCGAGTTCGGGGGGTGAGACGACGATAGAGGACATTGCGCTGGGGACTAGATCTGTTTCAACCAGTTCCAGCTCGAGAGCGGGGCTAGGGAGGGGGAGGGAGATTATGGAGCGCATGTCCTCAGACATGGGGGTCGCACAGGGTTCCATGCCCGTTCGACGAATGAATTCCATTTCGCGCTTCAGCAGTGTATTCTCTTCCAAGAGTGCTGTGTTCATTTTTTGGAATTCCTCGCATTGCCTTGTCAGACGAGACATTTCCTGGTCCTTTTCTGCGTTTGATTGGCGTAGACGCTGGATGGCGCCGATGCTGCCGACAAAGGCTTGTTCCCATAGTGTCGCGAGGGATGAGCTGAGCGGTACTAGCTGATCTAATGCATCTTCGTAACAGCGTTCCAGTACTTCCATATCCATTACGAGTTTATGATCGAGTGGCGTGGAAGAATTTGAAATGTTACTCTGCAAAAGGCGAAACTCTTGGAGATTGCTGCCAATCACTGTAGTCAGTTGAGACAATACAGACAGGGCATTGCGAAAGTCTTTTGAGAGAGGATCACTGGTAGGGCGTTCACTGGTTAGCCCGCTGCGACGTTTGCGAGACTCTTTGGCGAGAGACAAGGTCTTTTTGACGTTTGTTCCCGACGACCCGTTTGCATCACGGGCCTCTTCTACAGTTACTGGGTCGGAAAAGGATCGATTGAGTTTGTTTGTGCTGCTGTTGTTGCTGTTGCTGTTGTGGTTGTTGTTGTTACTGTTGCTCGTGTTGCCGTTGCCATTGCCATTGCCAAAGCGAGAGAAGATCGATCCCAACGATGCACGTTTGTTCAATGCCCGATGATCGTTTCTTTGGGAAGGCTCAAACTTGCTGGCAACATCCAGGATCGATCGTGCTGATGTTAGGACGGTTGCGAGATCCCGCTCGAGAGGGTCTTGTTCACCTTTTGCGGTGCTCTCGCTTCCTGGCGGTGGTGTACCAGATGATATCCGCCGGATGGTACGCGACAAAGTATTTAATGCATCCTTTAATGTTCCAACCGCTTGAATCAAGGCCAACTGTTTTGCTCCAGGAAATTTAAGATCGCTCGCAGGTCTTGGTGCGTTCGCATGATGCCCAGACGGAGAGGACCATGTTGCAAACTGATGCCCACCCTTTTCGGTACGCGACGGGAAATACCGTTCTTCTACGAGGGCGAGCAAGGAGTGACAGTCGATGACGAGTTCCTGGTAGGATGTGACGAGGGCCTTGTTGTCTTTATGGCGATGGAGGATGGCGAGACGGCGAGCTCGGTGAGCGACAAGCGCGTAGATGCGCGTCAACTTTTCAAAGTCAGACTGTGTAAGGGAGGGACTGGATTCGACGGGAGCGATAGCGTTGCGGGCCTTTGGCGTTCCTCCCGGGAGAACGGACCAGCGGTTGACCATGCTGTGCTGCAAGAAAGTCTGGGAGCGTGAGCGACGAAGCGTGGTGGATGGCACCCAATCCCCCCGCAGCTGTTTCACCCTTTGATGAACGACCATCCTTTGGGTCGCAAAGACCAGGGCGATTTGACGCGCGTGGAAAACAAAACAAAGCAACTTACCCAAAGTTGACAGATCGAAAAGACGTTAGATTTTTACTTTCTTCTTGATTATCCGCTCCTAAATGTCGACAGTTGCTTTTTGGATATTTTGACAGAAAGCAATGAAATTCCTTCCTAGGGGACGAACAGAGGAGAAGGATAAAGGTATAATCCAAAAGGTCCGTTCGTGTGAGTAATGCGTAATCAAGAAGCCAAGGGTGAGATCACACTCACGCGCTAATGGACAAGCCAAAAAAAACGTAAAATCAAAAACCAAGGCAGAAAAACATAGCCATTTCATTGCATGTTTTTTTTTCTTTTGTTCATGGCCAGTTGCCGCGAGTGACGTCTGTGAGTATGAGTTGCGTATGAAAAAATCAACGCGGGGAAAAGTGACAGGTTGCCTTTTCCCCCCCGGGCTGTTCAAATTGACACACTTTCAATAGTAAAAGGGGAAATGATTTTCCTTCCTGTGCTTCCTTCCCCCCCCCCCCCCCCAACGCAATCATGACATCTTCGTATCTAGAACTATCCTGCGATTAAACATATCCATTGCACATTGGCCATGCAACATTTGCATTGCACTAATCTCATATCCACATCTATCTTTCATAGCCATCTCTAATCCATATTTCACACTCTTCACATGGGCATCGATCGAACCTACATTTTATTCCATGTTCTCGGAGGGCCTTTTTTGCGCAGTACAAAAAAAGACACAACTCACCTCAATTAAACAATTAATGCACATTGCGTCATAGGCTTAGTCGACTTAAGCGTGGCTTAATATGCGCCACTGGGGCTTGCTGATCTAAGCACACGTATCATTTCTTTGTAGTGTAGAGGTGACAGAAAATGGCACTAGCTACTACACCAGGGAATAAACCGGCGACAACCGGTTTGGAAAAGCTAACTAACTAACTACTAGGCAATTATACACGCAATCCGTAACGGTTGGTTCTAACCGGATAATTGCCCACCACCACACGCGTTCCTACTGGGCCTTGATCCGCAACTCTTGATCGACATTGAAGCGAGAGTCGTCGCAAGAGAGTTAATATCGTCAGGGAGACTCGCAAGCCGGAGGATGTTCAGTAACGAAGGCTTGGAGACTAGAACTGCATGTCAGAAGATGACCAGATGATAAGAAATGATGCCATCGGTACATACCAACCAAGCTCAACAAATGTGGCAGCATAATAGTAGGTTTGTCAACAGATCCAACTGGTTGCTGCTGGTTCTGGCCGTTGTTGCTGTCGGGCGGACGAGGTCCTCGACACCACCACATCTGCATGCTCATGATTGACCGAGTCGCAATGAGGTTGCAATGTGGGTCACTATGAGGTTGCAATGTGGGTTGCGATGAGCGTTGGGCAGATGCTTGTGAGTCGAGGATGGGTAAAGAGGAAAGAGGGAAAAGGCCCCCCTTTTATAGACCTTTGGCATGCGCCTCACCGCAGTTTAAAAAAAAAACATTACATGCATGCCACACCGCTTTGAGCGATAGAGGGGGTTCTGATTATTCGATATGATTAACCGGATTATCCGGATAATAATGGGTCCTAGTGCCATTTTCAATCACCTCCACACTATGTTGGCCAGTCATGTCGACACTGAAAGCCAGAGATACATTTGCGTATCGGCTTTTCCAACAGATGAGAATGTCGATTAGGTTCGGGCTGATAGATAATCAACCACTCCCACTCCGCCTCGGTCTTGGCAACGTAAATAGATTTGTTGGAAATTGGACATTACATGCTCTTGGCAAGTAATTCAAGTTCACACCATTGCTCTAGGGCTCCCTCAGGGATAGAGATGGTTCGCATTGTCCGTGGCTAAATGGGACTGGGGAAGATGATTCAACTTTCAAATTTCGGCCTTTGTGATCGTGTGAGAGTGACGCTACCACGGTTGAATGGGGATTGATTTAGAACAAGAATTTCCAATGTTCTGACACCGTTGCAGAATCCTCCACCGTCAGAACAAATCCATATGCGCCAAGAGAACCCTGATTGGTTTACCATGAAAGTAGAACATAATTTCTGTGCTCTGGACACCCGTTGCGAATATCCATATACGCAAAGAGACATCACAAAGCCCTCCATTAAACTTACTTGTAAAGCCACCCCAAACATCCAAGCTACCTACCCTTGTGAATTGACATGATACCTCAGACTATGTATGCAAATTATCTTGGCAACAGCCGATATATCCATTGCTGAAGAGGACAAGGGGCAACAGAAATGGTCTATAAAAGGAGACTCAGCTGGGCACCTTGCCTCCAATCTTCTTGCTTTTCTTGCCATCGCCTTCTTAGTCATGGTTAAAATGATCTTCTCTTCTACTTTTGCCTTGATGCTTCTCGGCATCTCTGCTGCCGCCGCAGCCGTAACTCCTAGCCAAGACATCGCGGCGGTAACTCAATTTTCACGCACAAATCAAGTGCTTTTCGCACGTCAAGAGAAGGAGGAAGGAGACGACGACAAGGATGGTGTGCGCGTGAATGCCACACTAAACACTCCTGTTACTCTCGTAGCTGGCAAGAAAGTTGATGTAACTTACCCTGATGGGTTTGAGTTAGATGTCAATTCGACCGTGGCAAATACAGTGGTTGGTTGTCAAATTTACTATTTGCTTTATCTGTTTCCTGTATGTGCTAATAACCTATAATTTCAATTTTTAGACCGTAACATCTGGTACACCATCCATATCCACAGTCCCATCCGGGTTCAAATTACTCGCCAAGAACTCCTGGAAAGTAACCTATCGTACTGCTCTCGCTGCTGGTGCAAGTGCCAAGATTGAGTTTGCAGTCAGCGCTGCAGCTGTGACCGCTGCTGGTGGTGCAGGTGCCAAATTAATGGATACTAGATTGGCTTTCGTACAGGTAACACTATTTGTGTCTACATAATTCGTCCAATCACATTTTAACATTTGTCGATTTAGAACGGTGCTTGGATGGTCGATGAAAAGACCTCGAAATTTGATGCCGATGAAAACAAGACGGCCTCAACGAGTGCGAGCGTCAAATCAAACAGCGAATGGACTGTTTTGCTCAAGACCTCTTCTTCCTCAGCAACCAATACTGGATCTTCAACTGCGCCAAAGTCTGCTGGTTCGACCTTAGTTAGAAATGCTGGCCTGAGCTTGGCTGGCGTTGCTGTGGCTTTGATTCTGGTTTGATTGGAAGCAGCTCATGTATATAGCTCATTGTATCGTTGGTGACATTGTAAAATATAGTGTAGAGGTGACAGAAACTGGCACTAGCTACTACACCAGGGAATAAACCGGCGACAACCGGTTCGGAAAAGCTATCTAACTACTACTAGGCAATTATACACGCAATACGTAACGGTTGGTTCTAACCGGATAATTGCCCACCACCACACACGGTCCCTACTAAGCCTTGATCCAGAACTCTTGATGGCATTGAAGCCAGAGTCTTCACAACATTGGGGAGACTCGCAAGCTGGAGGATGTTCAGTGACAAGACTTGGAGACTATAAAAAACTGCATGTCAGCGAGATGAATAACAGAATGAAATGATGCAATCAGCACATACCAACCAAGCTCAACTAATGTGGCAGCATAATAGCAGCTTTGTTGGTTCCGAGTGATTGTTGCTGGTTCCAGTTGGTTGTAGTCGGGAGGGCAAGGTCCTCGGCACCACCACATCTGCATTCTCATGATGGACTCGCGATGAGAGTTGCGCAGATGGTTTGAGAGTCAAGGATGGGTAAAGAGGAAAGAGGGAAGAGACAGCAAAGGCCCCCCTTTTATAGACCTTCAACATGTGCCTCACCGCAGTTTAAAAAAAAAGTTACATTAGCATGCCACACCGCTTTGAGCAATAGATGGGGGTTCTGATTATGCGATATGATTAACCGGATTAATCCGGATAATAATGGGTCCTAGTGTTATCGATATGCGGGGGAAGGTGGCTTACACACGGCGGATCACGTGCCATAATGGACATTGAATCTTGTGTGTGTGAGCTAGTGTTAAAAGCTCCCTTTTACCCCACGACAAATTATGTCATTTCAGGACCTGACGTTCCAAGAAGTTTTGGACGATCTGCAAAGGTACAGCGATGGTGGAAACTAGATGATAGCTGGAATTTTGCACAGTATTCTTTTTGGCCATGCGTCGGATGTTTGTAGCTCACACCGACTTCCGCCCTCTCTCAGCCGTTTCATCATTAACATTCCAGAAGAAGAACTAGCGTCGGTTGAAAGAATATGTTTTCAAATAGAGCAAGCTCATTGGTTTTACGAGGACTTCGTTCGCGAAGAGAACCCGCGACTGCCTTCATTTTCCTTAAAAAACTTTTGCGCCCAGTTTTTTCGGCACTGTCCACTCCTCCATCGATGGGCTCACGATCACGAGAAAGCCTTTCAAAACTTTATGGAGTACAAAGTCCGTGTGCCAGTATGTGGAGCAATCATCCTCAACGAGCGTTTGGATAAGGTACAGTGTTCTGTGTCTAGTGGTCGGCTCCTTGCTAACGTCCACCTTAGGTTTTGTTGGTGAAAGGCTGGAAATCAAGTTCAGGTTGGGGTTTTCCGAAAGGAAAAATAAATAAGGATGAGCCAGAAGCTCCATGTGCTATTCGTGAGGTAAGAATGGTATTGATGGTCAGCGCATCCAAATATTCCTCCTGATCGTTCTTTTGGGCACAAGGTCAAAGAAGAGACAGGATTCGACATAACTCCATATTTACGCGTTAATGAGTATGTAGAGAGGACGATCAAGGGACAAAGAATACGATTATACATTTTGACCGGTGTTCCTGAGGCAACCACATTCATTCCACAAACTCGAAAGGAGATCGGGGTAAGATGGTTTTCTTCTTAGGACTGTTCTGCTCGTTCACTGTTTGTACCTTCATGCTTATACTGATTCAATTCAGGATATCAGGTGGCACAAACTTAATGATCTGCCGGGATGGAACAAAGATGAGAACGTACCAGTCTCCAAAGGGGAGAGGCGTCAAAAATACTACATGGTCACAGCATTCGTTAGCGGCCTTCGGCAGTGGATGAGTAAATATCGAAAAGCGAAGCGCCAGGGCAAAGCGCGGAATGGGCGTCATCTTTCCATAGTAATGGGCTACAATACTGCAACGGACAGCGAAGGGGAAGGGGCGACATCGGACGCCGGCATCCGATCCGGTACAGAGTCGGGCATCGACTCAAGGATGCCAACAGCGTCGGTGGTTGGCAACTATCAACTATTACGACGGACAGATGTGGCCAAACAAGGTGCAGCGACTCCTGTCATGGATGCACAAGTGGCAGCACAATCTATCAAGGCATTGATTGGGGTGGGGGCATCTGTAAATACTCCTGCCGTTGGAGTGCAAGTCGATATGCAATCACATGTGTCGAAGGAGATGCCCCCGGTGGTATTTGGCGTTTCCGTGCGGTCGACAACGCTCAATGAACCCGTGGAGCAGCCTGTTCCTCCCTTTCATGCACACACTCAGCAGTATCAGTCTGCGCAATTACCCCATTCTAGCTCAACTACGTTGACCATTTCTACGCCACATAGTGCAGTCGGAGCACCGCCGTCTTTCCCTGTGGGAATTGCTCCCAACCTCGGGATGGTGTTTGGCCAACCTGCAGCTAGCGGGACACCCCAATCCATAAGACAAGAGGCCCGCGTACCTATCCCCACTCCTACCCACCCTGATCTTTCCCAACATCATCCTTATTTACCTAATCAGATTCTCCTTCCCAGGAGCCGCCATGAGATCGCGTCCACCGTGCCTATGCCAATGCCTGCTGCCGTCAGCGGCCAGCAGACTCATAAGCAGAGCTTATTGGATATTTTGACAAAGGGTTCGGCCGCATACCCGGAAGCCACCATACCTGTCCCGATCAATCCACCGCCTCCCACGATACCATTCCAGGGTGCGGAACCCGTAGTGATGCCGTCGAGACCGACCGTTCTACCACCAAATTATGATTCTGAACCTCTACGAGAAGCATTTTCGGGGCCACCGTCACGAGCGTCAGTAACTAGCAATGCGGACCGTGGTCCAGCCAAGCAACGGATGTTGCTGGATATATTGATGGGCGAGAATCGCGGGAGCGTGACTGAACAGGGGCCATCGAACCCAACATTACCGATAGCCAACACAGGGCAAGCGGAATCGCACTTGAAGATGATGTTGGGAATTGGTGGTGGAGGTGTTGGCGGTAATCAAGCAAGCAGCGGTGCTGACAGTGCGAGCAGATGGCCACTGAGCACACCTGGTCCACCAAATTTCAATGCCCCTGCATTGGCCACATTAGAACGCTATCAATCGGAGGTGTATAGCAGCAGGCCTGAGATACCCAGTAGTGATAACCCAGAAAATCATCTCAAAGCGCTATTAGGCTTGGGTGGGTCTGCTCTGTCTCAGCCCCAACACGACCCTTCCAACGAATCCCATAACAGACCATCCACGGCGGTCAGCGACACATCCGCTCCACTGCCTCCGCATAATAGCACTCCGCGCTCACCCTACCACCGCTTTTCATTAGCGGACTTTCGTCGGATTCAGAGTGATGGCGCTGTTCCCACAGAAGTACATTCTCCATCGTTGATGCGTGCTACCAGTGGTCCTGTTAATGGACCTAAGATGAATGGAGACGTAAGTGGAGATGCTTCAATTAGTAACATTCTGATAAGTAACACCAGGGTTTCACCTCCGTTTCAGGACAAGCTGTGGAAAAGAAGACAGTCTGCACGCCAGTAATGTGTTGGGTCGATGACAAGCTGACAGAGAAGGATTCACTGAGGTGGTTCACTACATGGGTTGGCCATGCGTGAAAGCAAGCGTATAATTTTGTGTATTCTGATGACTCTTGATTAGACTCTTGAGAGTCTATCCTGCAAATATGGGTGAACCATACTTTTTTTTTGAGTTCATGCAACTTGCACGGCGATTAAGTATCATTTGCATTTCGGTGATGAGTCAGCAGAGCCAATTTCAGACACAAATGGTTTAATAGATTGCACAGCCTCCTACTGTCCAAGTCCACTAGCCCACAGTTGCGAACATTTGCGTTGGCGAGCAGCGACACCTGTTATTAGCAGCCGCATGTTCAAGGTTGGTTCTCCTGCCTGGATTGCATTGAGATGTTTTGTGTGATAAACGAGTAACTTTTATATAGGGAATATCGAAAGCGAGAGCTGGCGCCAAGTCACAACGTCCTTCACTACTGCCTCAACGTCAGGAAAGCAAATCCACTGCATACGACGGTGACGCACAAAGACTTGCTGCCGCATTCAAAGTACCTTCACCAAAGGTTAGAAGCCACTTGTCTTGAGGAATACTGATTCTAGTTACTGAACGGCTATTTCTCTGGTCAGAAGGAGGCAAAGGGCAGCAAGGACACATGTCCGGGCGGTGCAAAAGAGTTACCTACTACGCAGCCCGCTCTGACTGTGCAGGACTCAGTGGACGAGTTTGATGAAAACTGCCTTGAGTTTGCACTCAATGACGACCTTCTGACCCTCCTTGATGATCCGAATACTGGTCCTTCTCTAAGTGCCCCTTCGTTGTCTCACAGACCTCTCGTGCCAACTCAAACTTCATTATCCTCGCACCACTTGACGCCAGCATCTTCATCGCCGCCTGCAAATCAACAGCAATCCCCCTCGCACATTCAAAGCACGCCAGCTTCGAGACCCTTGCAGCCACGAAGACCGCTGGGACGCAGAGACCCCACTGCATTTCTTGCGGTGCCTACGCATTCAAATCACCTACCCATCGAAAGCGACGTACCTCCCAATGCTGGCGCGTTGTCACCAGACAGAACAAGCAGGTTCACGCATGGTAGACAGTTAAAATCATCGTCACCTTCGTTAGCGGAACAAGCTGCAGGTGAATCCTCAAATAGTCTGAACAAGGCCTTCCAAGATCAAGAATCAACCCAGCTGACCGCAAGCTTTGGACATCCCAAACAATCACATGAGCCGGCGATCCCTTCTCCAAAGCCTCTTACCAAGCCCATCTTTGACCTTAGGGTCAACAGGAAGAGTGCGATCAGTACATCTTCTGTCAGTCCTCCAAGAACAACCCCGCACCGCGATCCTCTCATACCTACGCAACCGTCTGAGTATCTTCATGCAAGAGCTGAAAGATTGCCCTCTCATACACCCCCACCTCTTCCCGAGCAATTTGGTGCTGAAGTAAATGTACATATGGTAGGAGCACAATCCACACAGGAGCGTGTTCCCAATGCCGATATTTCTGCCAAACCACGTCTGCCAGGCCCCGCTGGAAAGCTACCGACACTGGTATGTTTCGGACAGCACCAGTGAGAAGTGTTGGCCCGTGTAACTCATCTGTCGAGACTCAATCAGACACATGCAGAGAAAGCGATGTTATTCGGCTCGAAATCAGCATCTATATTGCTCAAAGGCGTCAAAAGAAGTAGGCCCATGTCAGACGCGGAAGAAGCGAGCAACGGCAAAAGATTGCCCACTGTAACGCGTACAACACTCTCCCAACAAGATGAAGACTTTACTACTTTGGCTTGGTCAAATATGTTGAATACGATCAAAGAATACAATGGTAATACTCCCGATGATTTCCGTCGGTGTATCAATTCTAAAGGCAAAGACCTCCCCTAGCATCCCTCAACGGAATCTCAGCGTTTCTGCGCACGTCATATGAACACAAGATACCGGATCTGATCGCCCTAATCAAGGAACTGCGAAAGACGGACGTAGATGGTGCAGCAATATTTAAAGACCCAACAGGTGGATAAAATGGGAAGGTATACAGCAATGGGACCAATATCTGATACTACTCCTCTCGGCGGGCAGGTGAAATGCAAGGAGCCATTCATCGGAATGTATTTGATCACTTTGGTGATGCAATATGTAATGGAACGGTTTTGGAACTTCGAAAGGTGCAGCATGTGCTGAGCTGAAGATGCGAGTCAAACATTAACCGCCAGTTGCAGATCTCGACTTTTAAGCCGACGGGTCGAGCAAAGTATCTCAATGTCACTCTAGCCAATATTGTTTCCATCTTTACAGCTACCGGACGACCTCCGCGATTGATGAAAGATACCAATGTGCCCAATCTCACCGTACGTGTTCAGTTTGCTCCGCGTATAACCAAGATATATATAATGATCCTCATACGATCAGGGTACCCCTTCGAGCGATTCCCACCAGCTCGAAGTCAGCGAAGTCAAAGAAAATCGCGACGTTGATAATACGCAGGCATTCCTAGAATCCCTTCCTGGCGAGCCATATGATGTTGATTTCGATTCATAGAGAGACGCGACTTACGGCATACAGACACAAAGTTATATAAATTCACGCGTGGGTGTTCAAATATTTAATATATGAATGAATATTCATGATTAAGTTTACAATTTTGCACATATATCTGTCACGGAAGGTTTCCAGCAATATATAAAGATTTCGCACCTAGTAATGTTGCAAAATATGGTAGTCGTTTCACGAGTACGCCGTCCGCCGAAATGAGGGTACTAGGTCAATATCAGAGGTTTGCGGGTGGCACGCGCGATAATCATAGAGTTCGAGCTAATACGTTGATGTCCAATGCACTACTGTGTTAACCGGGGATTGTCTTTAGCTTGTGCCATGGCAGTTCGGAGAAACCCCGGCCAATCCTAGAAACCATCACAAGAGATCAATATCGAAATCGGGGACGAAATTTTACGAATTCTCTGTACCTCTACTGGAATGTTGTCTCTCACACAACGCTCGTATGCCTCCTTATGAGATCGCGATTATTGAGCAATGAGAAATATATGCAGACTTCTAAACCAGATTGACCTACTTGGACGCTAAAGTTATTTTGCCCCTGCCTCATTTTTGCTTGAACACCCAACGCAAAGAAGTAAGCCGTCTTCAGCCGCTTCACATCGGCGACGTGCTTCGTCACGAATTCCATCTGAGAGAGTATTCAACGCATTAACCTAGGCCGCTGCTGTACGGTAAGCCGATAATGGACGAACCTGTTGGACATGCATGTTCTCAAATAATTCGTCTGATCCATGGGCGTGGTGTTCCAACAGGAGATTGAACGACTGATCCGAAGAACGACGGAATAGCGGCATCTCCAATAGCCGGCTCACTAGCTCCTGCGACCTCTGGCGTTCGTTTTCTAGCGCCCGTTGGACGCTCACGAGTCTGTCAGACATATCTCGCAAATCCTGAGGACAGCAGTGTCATAATCTTACAAGACCATATTACGGGTGGGACATCTCATACCTCCTCCAAATTCAGTAATCTAGACTCTTCATTCTCATCAGGAAGATCCCACGCCTTGAAACAGAATGAAAGTCATCCGATTGAACACGCACGAACAACCCCTAACCCTCGTTCTCACCATGGCATGCGATGAATCCAGAATTCGGACAACCTTCTCTTCCCGAGGATTGTAAAACAGGGAGGATTCAGGAATAACAGTTTTTGCAACCCGATCTGACGGGTATGGCAACCACCCCTATGTTATCAAATAAGTTCATGATCTTCAACTCGGGTTTTGTGGGGACTCTCATTACCGTTCCAGCACAGTAATACTATGGAGTGTCGTTCTCAATGAGGAAGTTGTCTAGCATCAAAAAATGACGCTGCAGAGTCTTACCGAAAGAGACAACGAGGCTCCCTGTCGCACTCCTATACCACAATAATAGTTGAGAAGGGACATCCATGACAAATACAAGTTTCCGGGGCATACCCTCAAGAAGCTTTCCGTTTCGATGGAAGAAACACACAGTTATGGGATAGTATCCGGGACCGGGTATTCGAAGCGTTCCTAATGCAACATGTCAGCAAGATGAAAATAGTCGACTCCATTTGGTACAAGTGACGGAGTTACCCTCTTTCTCCACGGAATAATGCTGCAAAGGGATACGTGAGAAACGAAGGGATCATAGGGGTTACACACATGTGACTTACAGATCCATCATTGTCAATGACTTTCTTTCCGGATACATACAGCGCCGACCTGGTCATCTCACGCAGTCAGAGACAGAGCGCTTCTGGGAAGACAATCTTGCGCAAACAATCTCACCCATCATTGGATGACAAGTAAAATGTCCATGTTCCGGCGTGAGGTATTTTGAGCTAAACCAACAAAATTAGACTAGTGTTCCAGTTGTCATCATATCGTCGCTTCCAGCACACCTGCGCAGTGAATCGTACTGCAAAATTTCCCACTGTAACCCACAAGGTGGAAGTATGCCAAGTCATCAACGGAACGAATCAAAGTGAATCTGCGACGCAAAGCAACATACCTTCGGTTGATCGCCCTTTTTGCAATCCCGGGTCAAAAAAGGTTGCTTCTGTTTTGGCATCGATGGAGATGGACTTTGATATCCCGGCGCTGAAGTGTTCCAAGGTGTTGAAGTCAGGAAGTGCTCCAAAGTCTCCCTTGTAATATTCATAGACGACTCCAGTTGCATAGCCGTCTTCTCCAATAACGCTTCCGGGGAGAGTGAGGTACGAGACTTTGCTTGTTTCGGACGTGAGGGACATCTGGGATATGCTTCGTGAACGTCTTATTGCATTCGAGTGCGCCCGGTTGTGGTCCCGCAAGAGGGTTGGGGGTGGTGGAACATGTCTAAACAGATCTGGATCAGCATTTGTTTTTGGATTCCCTTCGAGGTGTCAGTAGGTATTACGCAAAGTGACCTACTTTTCATGAAAGTTCTCAGCAGCCTCGGCTGCCGACGCTACAGTGGACAATGGAACGTCTGTGCTCTCAACTAGAACTGAATTCAGCTGTTGTGGCTGGCCCTTCAGATCTACATCTTCTCCTTCGGCCATCCCTGTTGAATTTTCTTCAGTCTCTGGTAAAGGCGGCATCTACGACCGGATTTTACGATATCGTGGCGGGTAGGTATGCCTGAAAAGATGGAGTCAGCGTCAAACGACAAGACGAGTTCTTGCAATAACCAAAGCGATCGCGTCGCGCTCAAGTGGGTGGCGTCATTAAACGTCATTAAACGATTTTGGGCGAGATGAACTGTCATTGGTGTTGAACGGTTTACAGATGCAAATGGACGATTCTAAAGACAATAGACAGCGACATGCTGCGTTGAAATCTTTTTTATCTGGAGGTGGTGGTGGTGTTGTGATGGTAAGTGACATTCAGGGTAGGAGCCCCAAAGTTCCATGGAGAGTAATGGGCATGTGAGCTTCACAGCAGTTGGAGTAGAGGAAGCATACGGCACTTAGAATCATCGCTCTTCTCCGATAAGAATTTACGGAGCTCAGTCTCCCTAAATTGACTCTAATAGGCTCATTCATTTGATCTCACAGGTTGGCGTGTCACACCCGTTTGACCTTGTCAAAGTTCTTATGCAAACCTCCACAAAACATGAGACCAATACCTTTCGGGCAATGAGGAATATATTCGTTAACAATGGACCTCGTGGGTTGTACAAAGGAGTTGCGCCAGTGTTGATCGGGACGCCGGTGAGTACTGGACGCTTTTAATGTATCCCCGATTTTATATGGCATAAGGTAGCTTGCAGTGTGCTTATTTTGCCTGTCCACACGTTGCTCTTAGCCTGTCCTGGCGACCTGTCTTTGGTGTAAGAATCTGTTGGCGAATTCTTCACGTCATTGTATCAAGGTGACCTGACTTTGCGCCCACTAGCTTATTACATAGGCCAAGTACTCGTGCGCGATGTGACAGGAGGTCCAGGTCGCCGGCGTTCGCCGACATCCGGCAACGTTGAACTCGTGGACACGCTGTCCTTGTCGCAAATTGCTCTTGCCGGTACAGAATGGCTTATATGAGACTCTATGGAAAGTGTTTGACGCGACATGGTCCAATAGGCGCATTTTCCGCTATTCCGACTGCCGCCATCCTTGGTCCAGCGGAACAGATCAAGATACGATTACAGGTCAAAACGGGCAAAGGAACCGCTACGGAAATCATAAGGCAGATAGTTCGAGAGGGCGGTGTACGGTCTCTGTTTCGGGGCACTGGTCTTACATTGTTACGTGATGTCCCAGGTAGCTTCTTTTATTTTGCGACCTATGAAGCGGTTAAGCGTGGGTTGAGTTCGGATATTGGTGTTGAGTTGAATGCAGGGACTATTCTGTTGGCTGGAGGTAAGTCGTATGTTGTTTGAACCGTCAGGTATTTTGCCTGATGTTTTGCGAAGGACTTGCTGGCATGGCAAATTGGACGGTAGCCATACCGTTTGACACTGTGAAATCACGCTATCAATCAGGCGGTGCGCCAGTGTCTCTGGCTACCTGTTTCCGGCAAACTCTGGCCGAAGGCGGCCTTCCTGCGTTGTTTCGAGGTCTGGGACCGACACTCATCAGGGCGTTTCCAGCGAGTGCTGCGTTCTTTCTAGGAGTGGAAGGAAGCAAATATGCACTCAATCGGATATTATAACCATATACATACTGCTGTACATAGTGCTGGTAAATTATTCTGACCGTAATAAAGTGTGGATAGATCTACAGAATCCAGTGAACGTGGATATTGTTTTGTCGCGCAACGCCATTTGAAGGCACGCCCGATCAGGTCAACAAAATGATGGGATATTTTGGGACTGAAGACGCGTTCTAGCAGCAGCTTGTTCCTTGTGTGGGGAATGGTTGACAAGCCCCGAGTTCGGGCAGCACGCAGGCCGGGAAATACGAAACGCCTGACATGGATCCAGAACATCCTACACCTGGAACTTGTAGTGGTTGTGACAAACCCATCGACAGTGAGACAGATGGAAATTTAATCAACTTCTCTGGGAGTCTGTATCACGCCGACTGCTTTACCTGCTCCTGCTGTCGTGTTCCCATCGACTACGAGAACAGTGTGGTGCTGTTAGGTGAAAACGGCAAGGTATCGTAACTGGCCGTTAACGCTGGTGGCTGAAGGCTCCCGGAGCTTAGCACATCTACTAACTCGTAGTCCTCGTCGAAACTCGCAGGCTCTGTGTGTCAACTGTTCCTTTAAATGTAAACTTTGCGGCCAGCCCATCCTAGAAGAGGCCATTACAACGGGCGACGATACATTTCACATGGCCTGCTTTCGTTGTCAGGCCTGCGGGAAAGCAATAGAAGACTTATCCTTCACGCAGGTGGATGATGTACGTGACGGGTCAATTTTGCAGTATCCTTTTTATCATACATTTTCGCGTGAAGCTTTAATTACACCAGTGCTGTTCCTCGGTTTGTTTTAGACACTATTGTGCATGGGATGTCACTCTGAACAAGCTCGAGGCAGCGGCCGTACGTCACCGAATCGGTTATCGACTCAAGAGAGTGCTATTCGAAAGGAGAGCAATGTGGACGCTACCGTTCCAGATGTGTCTCGCGGCGGTGAGTAGCTACTTTTGACAAGAAAGAAGCCGCTAGCTTTTATCAATGTCTCATCTATTTCTTCGTTTGAAGATGTCAGTGGTGGATCGTCCGTGGCAGAGCTCGGCAATAACATAAGTAGTAATGAATACATAATCCAGCTGGAGCACGAACTTGAGGAAAGAAGTCGACAGCTGTCTAAATGTGAGAACGATCTTCAGAGAATCAAGGTAGAATCTGCATGCATTAGTACTTGGTGCTAGTGGGACCGTTCTCAGCGTCGCTTTCCTATGTATGCAGAATACCAGTAAAAAAGCCTTAGAAGAGTTTAAAAAGATCAACGAATCGTATCAAAAAGAGGCTCTTCGACGGCAGCAGGCAGAAACGCACATTGCAGGATTGCGGAATGAACTGTCTAGTATGATTCAGGCGGATGCCAGACGCGCTAGGATCGAGGAAAACATCCTAAGGTTAAATCAAGAAGTGAAATTCCTGCTGTCTCAGCGATCGACTTTGGAGGATGATATTCGTCAACTCAGTGGGAAAAAGGAAGCTCTCTCCATTGAAGTCGGGCATTTATTGGAGAATAAGCACTCCTCGTTGGCAGATGGGTAAGCGAATATTCTACTTGTTGAGATTAGCAATCTTACTGATTCGGTTACCTGCAGAGGCACGGCTGAAACTGCGGACCCTCACGCAGACCTCAAAAAAGAGCTTGAGCAAATCAAAGCCCGGTTTTTTGAAGAAGTGTCAAACCTGCAGCAAGAGCGCGACGTATTGCGACAGGAAGTGGAGACACTTCGGTCAACACGTGAAGATCACTTCAACAATATATCTCGGCTAATAGAAGAGAACAAGCAGCTGGAAGTCCGCCACGACCAGATAACGAAGCAGTTAGTTGCCTCCGCAGATCATGTGCAAGCGGTGGACTCTATATTGTTGCCTGAACCAGGGATGTACCCACAAATGGAGGAACTGGAAAGAACAGTTTCGACAGATGAATTAGGAGCTAAATTGCCACCCGCACCTCCGCCGAGAACGACCACACGTCCATTAGGTCCCCGGCAGGATTCACGGGGCGACACAATCTACCAGCCCCCACGCAAGGAGGAGGCAGTAGATCTCTCTGCGCCGCCGCCCGTGCCAAAAAAAGATAAATGGAAGAAGGAATGGAAGACAAATCTGAAGGCAACAAAGACAAAGCTAAAGAAAGCTATTCCACAGAGCAAGACTCATACGGGCGAGAATGCCGATGCTGTTGGTGGATCAACCACGGGACTGCTTTCTTACGGCCACGGCATGTTCAAGTTGGGTTCAAAGAAGGCCATGTCGAAGAGCGGTGAGACACATCTTGTCTTATTCTGTCATTCATTGCCCCCTAACAAGGCAAATAGATGGCGATCTTTCACAGATCGGTTTTTCACCAGCAAAAGGTGACAAAAGTGCCCATTCTTTCCAACTACATTCCTACCGCTCGCCTCGGAAGTGCGACTTTTGCCATGATACCTTGTGGGGCAAAGAACTGCGTTGTGAGGGTGGGTTCCGTAACGAAACTGCCTCCGAACAAGTTTTCTTTAAACACAACAGGAAACTTATCGTCCGTTCCTACTCAGCTTGCGGTTACCATTGTCACCAAAAATGCTCCCCGCAGGTCATAGGTCAGTGCTTTTCCAGCAATGTCGCTACGGAGAGCGATCAAAGATTAACAGGTATGCCAAAGTTTTCGCTAGCGGTAAATTATTAACGCTGATGAGTGGTTCATGCAGGCGAAAGCGGAGTTGTTGTTTTCGGCACTGATCTCGTGAAATTGCTGGAGATAGAAGGCGGCAGAGTTCCCAATGTCGTGACAGCCTGCATAGCGGCAGTGGAGATGCGAGGTACTGTACCAAATCAAGAGGGGACACCATTCCTTTTGAAGGCCTTATTTACCTCTCTCTTGATATGCAGGAATGACTTTTGAGGGAATATATCGCAAATCCGGGCCCCTCACGCAAATCAATAAGATCATTGCAAGCATAAATAGAGGCGAAGTGCCTGACCTTACAAGCGACGAGAGCGATATTGATATAATGGCTGTTACCTCCGTCCTCAAGCAGTTTTTTAGAGAGTTGCCGGAACCTTTACTTGTTTCTTCCCTTTACGCAGACCTCACAGGTGTTATGAGTAAGTCTCGTGGTAGCGACCGCGAACACTTTAATGTCGCTATAGTTGACTAATATTTAAAAAGAAAGCACAGAGGACGACGAAGCTCGCTTGCCGAAGATAATCGAGCTCCTCCGAAGACTACCCCCCGCACATTTCACAACCCTATCCTACCTAATTATGCATCTTCACAGGTACTGAACGTTGCATAGTAATGGCAACATGTCACTCACATTGCACTCACGCATATTTCAAACAGAGTACAGCAACACAGCAGCGAGAATCTCATGACACCTACAAATTTGGGCGTAGTATTTGGGCCATCTCTCGTTCGACCAGCGCATGAAGAGATGCAACTCGACATGGCTGAATCGAGCGCGAAAAATGCACTTGTAGAGTTCTTTGTAAGGCATGCTACAGAACTGTTCCCTGTGGCCGAAGTTGAAACTCCAGAACGGACAGCTTCGACAGTTTCATTCGTGGATGCCCCTGTCGCGGACGACGAGACGTTCAACGGACTCGATCAACAAGTGCCCTAGATCTGTTCCATAGCTATAATTCACTCGCATTTCCATGCTAAAAATTTGAATTTGTTCATGTCATGAACAATCCTCGCTGGAGTACAATCATGGCCAGTTCATGTTAGTGGTTTCCTACAGCAGATGCATTCGAGGGAACGGCAGGACTCAGCAGAATAATAGTTCACTGTACAAATTCCATTAAAAAAGTCCAGAGAGAAGGCTGAAGCAACAGGCCCCCTCTGAGGCTGTCACAGGGATATCAAGAGATTCTCAATGGTACTAGTGTACTAGGAGCCCTGCCTCAAAAGGTTGGCACATCGTATTTTCGAGATTGGAGTCTACCCAACGCCCCATGGACCCGCCACAAATGAATGAATATACAGCATTTGAGAGCTGCTTATTTGCTTCCAAGCGAAGGAAACGCAGTCTGGTCCTCAACATTGACAACACCAGCATTCTTGCCCCGTCGACGATCGCCGTTTCTGTCGCCACGACCGCGGAACTCCCCACGTCCACGGCCACGGTTGTTGAATCCACGCTGCTCATCCGCGAAGCGTTGGTCGATGTTGACGAACGCCTTTTGTGCCTTCTCCTTGGCTCCGCCCTTCTTCTTTCCGGGCTGCTAAAGGGTGTTGGTATGAATATCTCAAACCTGATAGCAGAGCAGCTACACGGTACCTTGGCAAGCTCCGCAAACAACTGCTCATCCTCCTCTTTCTTCAAGACGACGGCATCCTTCCATTGAGCGTCGTCTGCGCCTTCGTTAGCCTTCCTGACATTGAGTTCAGCGGCGCGCTTGTTTTTCTCCGCAAGGTATTGGTCGAGGGTTTTGAGGACTTCCTCAGGTTCTTTGTTCTCCTCGTTCTCGGCAGCACGGGACTCAACAGCTTCACCGTCAGTCTTCTCGGGAGTACTAAAGAGCGTATAAGAGTTTCAATCCACCCTGCTCATTCCTACCAAAATACTTACGCTTCCGCAGTCTCCTCCTGAACTTCTTTCTTCGCCTCCTCCTCAGCAGTCAAAGGATTACCCCAGGAGCCCCTGCCAGCAACCTCCTTCTTTACGCCATCAACGCGGCCAGTGCCACTGTGACGGTCGAATTCACGACCACGGAAGCCACCGCGGCCGCGACCGCCACGACTGCCGCGGAATCCGCCTCGCTCACGGTTGTCGCGTCCTCCTTCGCGAGGCTCAGCATCACCAGAATCGCGATCACGGTTACGTGGGGGACGAGCTGTAGAGCGCGCAAAGGAAATCCCATTTTAGTACCAAAATTGAATCAGCACCGTTGCACGTTGCACCCGAACTCAAACATCTCCATTCATTCATGGGCCTTATTGTATCGGAATCAACTTTGTTCACTCGTCAAGATCCTAGCACCCAATGCACAAAAGACACTCACCACCGCCTTCAACTGCACCACCACGCTGTTGGTAGCCGCCGCGACGAGGGTATTCGTTGCGGATGGGCCGGTCGTTGGGTTTCTTCTCCGAGCGGGCGACCGCGGCTTCCTTCTTTGGAGTAGCCTTCTTGGCGTCCTTTTGTGCCGGAGCGGGAGCTTTCGCCACGGGGGCGTCACCACCCTCGTCGTCGCCGAGCAGGGCTACAATATGCATGTACAAATCCCAATTCAGTATCCACTGTCCACCATGATCACAGTCACCACCTCCTTCCTCCATTCATCCATCCTCTCCAAAAAACACAGCATAGATCTTTACCAAACAAGTTGGTGCTAAGCACTTCCATGATGGATGGAACGATGTGAAAGGACGGAAGCGATGGATGCTTCTCCCTTTCTCCTTGAGCTTATCCCCAAACGGCCTTCTGTGTGGACAGGGTTCTTGCGTTGTCCTGCCCTTCCTCACACGACTTGGTCACGTGAAATAGAGTGTTTCCATGGCACGCCCAGGGGGAGTTGCAATGCTGAGGCGTGTGCCGTTGAAACGCATGTCGAACAGTTCGGTGAGAATTGCCAACCAGCATTGATGACGCTTGACCAACTAGCCCTAGTAGCGGGCACAGTTGTCGGTTCCATTTGCGCGGTGATAGCACTAGGCTTCTCCGCGCACACCTTTGTTCGAACTCGGTTCACAAGTCAAAGCACAGTTGCAGAAACGGAACAGCGACGCAGTAGTAAACGTTCTTCGCACTTTACTCGTGAAAAGTTCAACCTCCCATCCACAAATTCCTCTCAGCTGGAACTTACCGCTCCAGTACCACCACCAGAAGACACCCTCCATCCATGCTCTCTACGCCCCCCTTCAGTCGCCCTTACAATTGACACGCTAGCCCAGGACGACTATTATCCTATTCACACGAAATCAAAGCACAAACGAGCTGTCTCAGTCTCATCTCGCTTTTCGGTTCGCTCTCACTCTTACAATATCGGATCTCTCGCGGACGACTTGAATGCCAACCTCCCACTCCCGGCATGTCACAAAGCAATTGTATCGGAACCTTACGAAGCATTTGAGGACGATGAAATGGAGTTAAAAATTGGGGATTTGGTGAATGTTTTCAAAGTCTTTGAGGATGGTAAGAGCGAATATCTTCCATGGCACTGATGATACTATTTGACGAACCTGTCGTTGACACCTTACCCCTTCATTTTTGCATCAGGTTGGGGCTGGGGTGTCAACGTAACATCCGGCGCGAAGGGCATCTTTCCGGTTGTTTGCTTGAGTAATCTATGAGCTCGCACCAATTTCATTCTTCTTTCTATGGCTTGTGAATATGACCTATGGATAGCTCCTCTGTGTCGGTTGATCACGTCAATCGTCCGATCAAGTCACCTATCCAAATGACAGCACGCTTGGCAACTAGAGGTATTGAGTCGGCGCTGGACGCGAAACTCGATATGTTATATTTCTGTAATAAAGTTTAGTGTAGATTTGTGTTTAGTGTAGTGGTGGATGAACCTATAATTTGTATCTATCGCTGTTGGTTTGCCGGATACAGGCGGTTATGCGATAGTATATATAAAGCAGAGTCATGTCAGTCGGCAAACTATCAGTCTTCAAATCCATACTCACAGAAAACACATGTGTACAAGGAAAGGCCCGTATATCTATACTACACTCACAACATCAATGTCTCCTTCCTCTCCATCTTTGACCTCTCGTACCTCCTGTTCACCGATCGTCCTCGAAGGAGGAAAGGGTACGGAAACCACATCTTTTCCCATCTTCCTTGGCTCGCCACCCCCCTTCGGTTTGCGTTTCCCAGTAGCCCCAGGTTTGGCAGCAGATAGTGTCTCCGAACCAGCCGCACTGATATCCCCAGCAGGAGTAGCCTCTCTTGCACCTTCCTTTTCCCTGATCTTTTTGTCTTTCCGTCGTACCTGACTTTTTGGCGTTTTGGACTTAAGAGCCTTCTGGCGCTCTTTCTCTTCTTCCTCGGCTTGGCGGCGGGCAGACTCTTTGCGTACTAAGGCAAATTCTCAAAGTCAGCCCAGCATATTTTCCGCGTGTTCTTTGTACGACTTACCCTTCTCCTCCATCTCCTCATCATCAAGTAACAAAGATAGAACCTCTTTCGGTTTGAACTCCACTTGTTGCTTGAATTCACCGCCTGATATGACGACTTTCTGAATCTACAAGCACACGATAAACATCTCAGTATCCAATCACTTGAAAGTGTGACGCGTAGCTTATTACCTGGTCCTTCTGCCTCGCTCGCATCAGGATTCTCTCCTCAATCGTGCCGGCGGTGATGAGGCGATATACAGTGACTTGTTTGGTCTGTCCTAATCGATGCGATCGGTCCATGGCCTTAATCATAAGGCGGATAGCTACGTAAGCAGGTATCTGGTACCATGGGCTCCTATCAAACTGACCTGCTGATCGACTGTCGGATTCCAATCGCTGTCATAAAAGATGACGGTATCCGCTGCTGTGAGGTTGATGCCCAATCCTCCAGCTCGGGTGGAGAGCAGGAAAATGAATAGTTCAGGTCTTCAACGTTATGAGATTAGGATCTCATCTCTCGTAAGGCATCCCACATATTTGAGTGGACTTACTTGGTCTGCCAATCCATGACGAGATCTCTTCGGTCAAAGATACTTGTCGAACCGTCCAACCTCAAATAAGAATATTGTCGATTTGCTAAATACTCCTGTTATACATACAGAACATCATTGGTTAAACCCTTGCTGGTATCTGTAGCAGCATTCGACAGACCAGTACCTCCATCAAGTCCATCATCATCGTCATTTGGAAGAAAATCAACACTCGATGTCCATCAACCTTCAATTTGGGCAAGAGCGAGTCCAGAATGACCATCTTGCCCGAATCTGTCACTAGTTTGCCAACAGCTAGAGTACATTGGTAATATGACCGTGAGCATCAAAAGAGCTGGCCAATATGAGCAACAATTCAGATCTAGCTCACCTGGAACCTCGACATACTCCCACCCATGCTTACGTCCCGACGAACCCATAATTCCCTTCCCCTCATTTGTCTCTACATATTCTGCAGCTTCCCTATCCACAGTATCACACCCAAGCCCGGTGCGACTATCTCCGAACAGCAGGGTACGCATCCATCGATTATGCATTAAGCCATCCTGTTCGAAAGCAAAAGATCGGTCGGAGCACTCATACAGGACGGGCGGCGCCAACGCCTATGGAATGTCTCTTAGTGTGAACAAGCTGGAGCAACGTACGTCAGGAGTGTCTATTACTCACCGCAGGCAGGTATGCCATATTCAACCGTCTCAAAACCCCATACATCTCTTCCTCTTCACACAACGTGACCAAATTGGGTAGCCCTTCAATATGCACCCCGTCTCTCCAGTCATCATACCCAACGATATTCAGCATTGACCGACTCGGCCGTCTGCAGGTGAAAAGAAGAGCGTGAGCAAACATCCCCGTCTCAGGATCGGTGTATAATCACCTGTATTCGTTCCGCTTCAAGTATCCGTACATCCGACGCTTCCTGTCGTGGTATAGTATATGCAACACCCAGCGTCGCAGCACATTTGACGCGTATAACCTTGAAAACTCCCCAATGGAGGTATCGATAAAATGGAGGAAGCCGAATATCTCTAATAACATTACGATCGAATGATATCAGAATGGCTGACACACCGAGATGAGCGAACAGGCCTCAATCCTCACCTCCTCTACTATCTCTCTCCCCTTTCCACACCGAGGCCGCATGCCAAATATTCCCCTCCTTCCACGGCTGTCTCGCCACTAATCCGCTCCTGTACAATTTCTTCGGAATCCTGTATCGTATACACCCCTTAACTCCATATGGTACTTCCAATATATCAACCCTTGAACTAACTCCACCACCCATTCCGGTACCGTCCGCGTCAATACACACAAAAGGACTGATAACGTCCGCCCGCTCAAACAACTCTGGATGATTACAGACCTTTCTAAACTGCATTACAATGTTCATGAGACTATCCTCGCTTCCTTCCTCCTCACCAGCTGTCGAGGAGATGGGACGGTCCATGGTCACCTTGTCCATCAACTCTTTGATGGAGATCTTTTGTTTAAGACGCTGATACAACATCTTTTGGCGAGGAGTCAGTTGGCAACTGAGTTCCACTTCAATTTTATCTGCTAGCTCGTTCTCAACATCGCGCTTCACACGACGTAACATGAACGGCTTGAGAATCATGTGCAGACGACGGAGCTGGTGCTCATTGAGAGTGCCATTATCTTCCACGTGAGATTCTATGTCTTTGGAGAACCAGTCACTGAATTCCTCGTGAGAATCAAACAAGGTGGGCATGATGAAGTGAAGAAGTGACCAAAGTTCCTGCATGGAGTTCTGAATTGGTGTTCCCGTTAACAGAAGCCGGTTGCGTGAGTTCATCTTCAACAGAGTTTTCCATCGCTGACTGCTAGACGATTTAATTGCTTGAGCTTCATCCAGAATCATATACTGCCACTTGATTCGGTTGAACTGCTGAATATCTGTCACTATAAGTTGATAGGACGTAATTGCCACATGGAATGGTGCATCCTTCACTCCCAACTTTTTCGGACTCAAAAAGCCACGAAGAGTTCGGCGGTCTTCTGGATCACCCCAATATGGCAAAATCTTCAACTCTGGTGCGAAGCGGGCAATTTCCTGCTGCCAGTTCGGTAGCGTAGAAGCGGGCGATACCACAAGGAAAGGTCCCCATATGTCGTGCTTCTCCGCAAGATACGCCATAAGGGCTATGGATTGGATTGTCTTTCCTAACCCCTTTTTGACCAACATTAGAGTGAGAGAAGAATACCTAAAATAAGTAATGCTGCTACGAACCATTTCATCGGCAAGGATACCATTGATTCCTTGCTCATACAGATTGGCCAGCCAATTCAATCCCTTCAGTTGATACGACTTCAACGTCACCGTGAGCATCGTGGGTTGCTCAATTTCCGAATCGCTTCGCAAACTCGATGGATTCAAGAAGTCCATCTGATCGACCGTGCTTTCCGAAATTGCAAGACCACCAGGGCCGTGAACCTCTGCTCTTCGAGCTCTCGCGCTTTCGTCAAATGCTCGAGTAGCTTGCCGCTGTTTGGCCAACGCCTGTTCCGCCTCATTGCGAGCTCTAGCAGCCAGCTGTTCATCATCTTCCGCGTCGAAGTCGATTTCGCCAAAGGATTTCACAGGCTCTATGATACCCTCCGTTGCCGGATCTGAACTTTCGAAATCTGCAGCATTTCCAAGCTTGCGCCCAATGAAATGACTATAAAGCTCCGTTTGGGAGATGAGGAAATTGAGCTTTCGAGCCTGTCGCTGGGCCTCGCGTAATTCTTCTTCCCTCTTTCGCTGCTCCATAGCCTCCTTTTCGGCCTTTTTTCGGAGTTCCCGTTCTTCCTTCTCATTCCGCTTCCAAAAGATCAGCATCTCCTTGGCTACACGTTTGGCACGGGCCGTCAATTCTCGACTTTGCTGCTTTTCATTGACTTTCGTCCGCACTGCTTCCCTGCGACACAACTGGGCAACTTTGTGCAAGTTTTGTTGCTTCACAGTGGAATAGTGGACCATAATTTGATGCGCCTACAAATTGCCACTTTAGGGAATACTGAGAACACTTGCTATGGCAACACATTCGTACCCGCGGGATATCTCTTTGAGCGATCATCTGCCATAAATGATGCCTAGCCATTTCCATGTTCCGCAGTTCCCGTAGCCGCGTCGTCTCTGGATCTTCAAATACCTAAGGGTTTCCTTGCGTGAGTGAAAGTTCAATAATGTCAAATTCCTCCAGGGGCGCACATCTTGATCGTAGTAGTCTCCATGTGAAGTATAGGTATCCTGTTTGGCACGTTTTCCACTCGACTCCATTGCACGATCCTCATCAAGTCCTTGAGCCAGGTCCAGCCGCTTGCGTTTGCCAGTTTTTGACCGGCGATCCAGATTGACACCGTACTTTGCAATCAGCTTCTTATGAAATTTAGCAAGTTTCTCCTAATGAAAGGAGTGGCCAGTTGACATTCGATGCGACATGGGACATGTGTATGGATGAGGTCACCACATACCTTCTGCTTTTTTTCGTACTTCCGTAAAATATCGCGTCGTCGATGTCTCAACCGAATCATGTAGCGCACCAACTGTTTCTTGGCTTTTGAAGTCATATTTTGACCAGCACATATATCCAGATCATCTGGGTCGCTGCTCAATTCTGCTTCATACTCGAGCGCTCTTTGTGATTCGGGCCAAAAGCTTGGTTTTATGGCGTAATCTATTGAGTAGGATGAAGCTGGATCGTAGTCTCGGTCTGGGGTTAGAACCTCAGATGGGAGTCTACCAAGAGTAAGCCAATTGTACGGCTGCCAAGGAACAGCGGCAGGGTGTGCATACCCTCTCTTTCTCGTCGTGGGTTTCTGACATAAATGTAGTGCAGCACCGTTCATCTTTCCGCTTCTATATACAGCGCAGAAACATCAGAACTGAATCATATCATTCAAAATCCGCGTTAGAAAACGGCATTTACACTGCTTGCGAAGCATAGGAACTATTTTGCCTCTTGGTATGCGTAACGGCGGTCGGCTGAATGGAATGCTAAAAAGATGGCGTATAAAAAATCGCGTGTCAATAAGAATAAATCGAAGAGCCCTGACTCGATCGGCAGTAGCCGAGCCCTACCTGTCCAAAGTCTTCTGTGATTGACTCAGCGGAAAGGTCAGAACGCCCATCCCCTGACGCGGCTACCGCTCGCGGCGCCAATAGCACTCGATCGGTTATGCCTCCAGGAGATGTCGCTGTATCGTATTCTCCCGTGCTATCTTGGTGGTAATCCTTACTCTCCCCATTCAGTTGCTCCGTAGATGCGACATTGGCGAGAGTGGATTTATCATCTCGCAATGCGTCCTCTTTTGAAACATGGAACGATTCTATTGTGGGAACCCCGGGAAGTCGCGATGATGTTATGCTAGGGACGGGTGTTGTGGACGAGTTTACAAGAAGGGAAATGGACATTGGTTCAAGTCCGGGAGCTCGCTGTGTATCGGCGCGTGTGGAGCTGGGCGCTGCCGAAGTACCGCTTGCGACTAGTAAAGCAGGTTTGATCTTCTCTCACAAATTCATTATGGTCAGCACAACATCAGCTGAGTGACAGCGTGTTTATTCTTACCCCATTGGGACTTTGGGGAGAGTTCCATGGACGGTGGCGTGCATACGTAACTTCATGGGGTTGCTCCAGCCGAGGACCTCGATTCTCCCGAGTCTCATCCATATATCGGAAGGCTTGCGATGCAGTTCGAGAATAGCGCTCACCTTCCGAAAGTTCACTGCTGGCCCTTCGTCGCCCATTTTGCGATGATTCCACATCCAAGGAACGCACTCGATCTCCATCGCTCACGAAGAGTGGATGGGAACGATCTCGGTCAAACAACTCATTATGCCTATCAAAAGCGTCCGAATGCCGAACATAGGCAAGGGTTTCCCTGAATTCAGGAGGAAACCGGCTTTCGTGATCCAGTCGGCGCTCCATGGCGCGCCTTAATTCTCTTCCAACGGCGTGTTGCGGGGCTAGTTCCTCATATCTGTCCCTAGCAATGCGGGTATCTGGAGGATCTCCCGACTGTTGTCTGTCGCCCTCAACAGAATATCTCCTGTTCATCATGTATTCGGACGGGGACTCTCTCTCGAAGGGCATGTCAGGTTCCATTAATACTCCCCGTCTCCTGGGGACGTCATAATAAGGATCCGTGTGTCGGGAGTCGCGAATGGAATCAAGCGGGTAGCGAGCACCCTCATACTGTTGAGACCATAGAGCATGAGATTGGCGAGCGGAAGAGGATATATCGTAAGATAAACCTACCAAGCCTCTACCTTCCGGCAATTGCGATGGACCTGCATCCCATTGCCTTCTGGAAAATGTTTCGGATGTGGGCGAAGGATGAAGAGGGTGCTGCGCTGGGTGTGTGGGATAACGCAATTCTGGAAGATACGGTAACTGGTGGCTCTGAGAGGGTGGAGGAGGTGAGTAGGTGCGATAGTCGCTTGCATGATAGCGATGATGATGATGGTGATGATGAAGATGTGGTGGTGGGGCAGACGGACGGTGGTGGGATGGTGGTTCGTGGCGGGTCCTTAGCCGAGTGTGCTCGACAAAATGCGGTGACTGCTCGTGCGTCGGGGACAACGCGTCATGCACGGACGGGGGACGTTGCGGATAATGGGCGTCTGTGGAGAGGACTGAGTGCTCCTGGAAAGGTGCACTACTTCGAACCAGAGGCGGTAATTGTGGGGGACGGTCGCCGTCCGGTGGCCACTGTGACCCACTCATAGTTGTCGGTGAACCGATAACCCAGCTCCACGGTGATCAGCACGCTCTGGCTTAACCTCGCAGGCTTTTAGTGCTGCCGCGTGTTACAAAGCCCACATACATGCAAATGGATAGATATCTGTACAAGCAACGTACAATGGAAGAATAAGAAGAGAAACTTGTTACCGTCCGCCGTGGACTGGAACCGTATACTCGTTGTTCATCCCGGCTGCATGATGATGGTGGAAAGTCACGTGCTCACTGAGATTACGTGATACCGCAATGGGCGAAGCTCAGACCTCACAATCTGAAGATTGCATGCGGACAATGTTCGTCCTTGCAAGTCATCAACCAAGATAAATAGTCTGCATAGTTCCTCTTTATAATTCTTCCAGCCCATTTGATTCTGCTTAAAATCATCTATGCCTTCCTTCGTTGTTACTGAGTGTAGTGGGAGACGGAGAATGCAGAACTTGTTACCAGTGTTGTTTGATAACAGCAAGACCAGATTAAATGGGGGATGTGTTGCTATATATAAAATATATGTATATGCCTATTCAAGGCTGATGGGGGATAGGGCCTCGTAGTATGCAACTCGAGGATTTCGCGCTGCACTTTCAATTGGTTGTTGCTATTTATGACGACGGACAAAACAATGGTCCATATCCTTTCCCCCTCAACCCGTCTTTTCAGGGCACGCAACATAGAGAGCATTTACACCCCGAAACTATTCTCTCTCATGATCCGCGCTTGTACAGGTGTGGAGATTCACACACCCAACCTTCCCCTTGCTTGTCATCGTCTCTACTTGGTTGGCTCATTAGAGATTTATTCTGTAGTGTATCCGCCGACAGTAGATTGTTGTGAAATCGAAGGTCCACATACCACGTCCCACCCATCCCTTAGGCCTGCCTCTCTTGGCCTTCCATAAGCATGGAACAACCCCAGCAATTATCTTCGGCGCAAACCTCTCCGGTCGTCTCGGTCTCTTTTCCTTACCCGGTTACGACGTATGATGGCATAGAATCTGGAACCACGAATGTTCTAGCCCAGGTGTGCGATCGTGTACGGGTGCTTTGCGAGGAGACAGGCAGCGCACATGGATGTCACATAACATTTGCCACACCCGAGTCGATCTTGAACCGACAGCAAGGGCCGTGCGAAATCAATCTAAGCGTCAATATCATGGGTCCGTTTGCCAGTGTGTTGGCAGCACGTGCCGTAATGCTGAAGAGGATTCCCACTCAGGTACGTTTTCATTTGGGGTGCCAGAGGATAGTTCGCTAAACTTTTGTGTTGCAGACTATGATCACCGTTAAAGCAAGTCGCAAAATCATTCTGAACGACAACGATGAAATGAAAATTACCGTCAAGCGCAAACTGGACAACATCATGCATTCATCGCGTACACAAATCACTTGCGTAGGTCAAAACTATGAAAGTGTGAAACCCCCGCCTGGGCTTTCTTCGGAGAGCATGGACGTGGAAATCGTGGGCCATTGGGAAGATGTCGAAATGGCCCGGATGCAGACATTGGTTCTGTTAGATGAGATGGTAGGGTCCCTCCCAGCATTGTAATTTTTCTCATCCTTTGTCTGACCCTCTTTCCTTTAGGCCGGTCTACATTGCGAGCCGGTCGAGATCGAAGCAAAGCTCCACCCTTTGATAGCCGGTCGCAAGCGATGCATTCTCGAGACAGTGATGCACGATACAATGACCAACGTATATCTTCCTACTCCCTTCATCGCAGAAACGGGGGCACATGAAGTTACGAAACAAGTATTGGCCTACAGCCACACAATCTGGATAACTGGTCAGCTGGCAGGGGTAGCCGCAGCTAAAGAGAGGTTGTTGCATATGGCTGCCCAGAGGGTAAGACAGACATATTACGGTATTGTGATATTTGCGCATTATTCATTGCTCGCGAATATAGGCCAGCATGCTAATGACCAAACACATCACGTCACTGCCACGCAAATTGGACTGGATGCTGGTGAACAGGAAGGACCACTTACGCAAAGTGATGCAAGATAATGCAACCCACATTGGTATACCAGCACTTGGAAGCAATGTAAACACCCTTACCATTAGTGGAGATGACAGGGTGTACTTGGAGCGAACGTGCCGGGCCCTCATGCATATGGTAAGTTTCCGGACTTTCAAATCATAAGGTGTGATCCCATACGCGATCTAATATATGCTACAGGTTTGCGACTTCTATGTCGCCGGCCTGCAGCTTTCTGCACCGCCTATTCCGCAGGCAACTATAGCTGCAGCTTGCAAATCCACAACTATCACCCACTTTATCGCGGCGCTCGGAAGAATCTGCCAAAGCTCGCGAGCGGAGGTGGTGGTCCAGAAGAACTTTGTGGAAATTTATGGCTTAGAGGCAGCTGTTAAAAGCGCATACCAGCACGTCGCCGATCTGGATTTTATAAAGGGCGCCATCAGAGACACGAAGTTCCAGTTGGAACTTGCGCTTGAACACCGCGAATTCATCAACGGCAAGAAGAATGGCAAGATTAACAAAATCATTAAAGCATCCGGGTGCAAGATCACCTTTCAAGAAAACTATAATGAGTACAATATGTTGATTGATGTGTACAATGCTTACCCCGCGAAAGCCGTTGAGGGTCTCGCGCTCTTAGAGGATGAGCTCCCAGCCGAAATCTCCTTCTACGTCCCCGAAGCCTTCCATAAGCGAATCATCGGGGTGGGGGGAAAGAACATACAACGTATTATGAAGAAATACGCCGTCTATGTGAAATTTTCCAATGCAGAGGAGTTTGCTCAATTAGGTGGATACTTTGAGAACATGGACAACGTCATTGCTCGTACCCCAGCAAAAAACAGTGCAAACTTAGACCATCTTCGAGTGAGCATCATGGAGTTAACGAGCGTCGGTGAGAAAAATAAGGTCACAATGAGTGTGATAATTCCGCGACAATTGCATCGAGTTGTGGTCGGACCCAGAGGAAGCTACCTGCAGGATATCATCAAAGTAGCCAAAGTTGAGATTAACTTTCCGGAGAAAGAAACGGGGTTGGATGAAGTGACTATCGCGGGCCCTGAACCCCAGGTGCAAATCGCCAGACAAAGACTACAAGAACTTGTGCCCGAGATTTATGAGTTCTCTATTCCTGGTTCCACGGCAGCGTTCTATGCGGTCCGCTCTACAGATCTCCAGCAACTCGTCATGAGACTATCACAAGAGCTAGCCATCGATCTCTACGTCTATATGCCCCCGACGGAGGAGCCAGGACCCGGGCCTTCCGAATGCAGTTTCTTGCTCCACTATCATCGGAACAATAGCGGAGCCCTCGATCAAGCAAAGTCCCTGATTTTCGAGTTCCTGACCATCAAGCAAGTTCCTCTACAGCGCCAGTCCGGCATGCCACGAGCCGGAAGCTATGCCAATCTCCAACCACAGAGAAGCTACGATTCCTTCCAACACTTCCCTAGTAAGCTGATTGCTTCCGTCACGACAGGTGACTCTCCTGCGCCTGCGATGGCATTCAGCAGCTTTTTCCCGGAAGGTATCGCAGGACTGGCTGGGACCAGTGGGACCAAATCCATTACCGCCGTCAGCAGCGGGATCGGAGGATCTAAGTTCGCACATTCGACCCCAAATTTGAGGCAGTTATTTGAAGATGTCAGTTACACCCGTGGAGGAACCGACCAGCATATGAAGCGAAGTCGGTCAGATATCAATGACGAAATGCTACCAACGACAAACCTCTTGGCGGCGACCTTGGCGGCAACCTCTCTTGGTCCTAGTCAATATCCGTCTGTCGCGCCTCAGGACCGATGGGCGGCGGCAGGAGGAACCACCTTTTCTAGGCGCGGAGACTTCCGCCCCGAACCCATTGACACGACGTCTGATCTGGAGGACCCCAGCAAAGATCCTGAGCTTCTAAAAGGCTTTGCCGGGATGCTGTCTCCAGTTGACGCACCGGAACGTCCAGATCCACCACTTCGGGTTCCAAGCGATAAGTTTTGCGGACTAAAGTTGTCTAGAAGCATGGGTATGCTCGACGAGAAATCCAAAAAACGTGAGCCAGGTGTCAGAGGACCATCTAACTTGGCGGGTGAACCGAGTGGTGTGTCTGATCCCGAAGACCCGTCCCAGGCTCCGGCATTCACACCGGCATTGATAGCCCAGCTCTTTGAAATGGAAGCTCGGATTCCAAAGGATTTTCTCCAGATTCGGGTTCTGCTCGAGTCGCTAGATTTAGAAAACTACGTTTCGATATTTATCGAGCAGGAAATTGACTTTCCGACTCTCTTGCTACTCCAAGATGCTGATCTCAAGGAAATCGGGGTCAAAGCGTTTGGAAGTCGCAAAAGAATTTTAAACGCTATTAAGGAGTGTAAGGAGCACGGAGGCGCTCAAAAACAAGGCACACAATCGAGTCCACCTCATCAGCACCACCAGCGGAACCCACACCCCTCACCAGCGGCCTCACCCCTACGTCGCTCCGACGTCCCGACCCGAGATTCCCACTCCGCGCGGAGCTCTGTACCATCAGCCTATACGGCGAGCCCTATCATGCAGCGATCGAGCGTGGGGAGTAAAGGTGGTTCGCAGTCTCCCTCATCAACTCACCAATCTCAGCAACGAGGCTATCCTGGCTCGTCTACTTCATCCTTGGGAGGACAGAGGAAGGGGTTTGGTGAGTAATGGGGGTGGGTGAAAGGCGGGGTTTGGGCGACTTGTCGTTTTAGGTGTGTGCGAGAAACGAGGGTTTCATCTTCATAACAACTTTTAACTAATATGTACGTTCCATTTCCTTTGCAGCAAACCACTATATCTACTCGTCTGGTCCGGAGCTAGCAGCAATGTTTCAATCACACTCCACACCCACTTTCACATCTCTAACTCATCCCACAACTTCCACAACTTCCCCGACAACAAACACGCTTCTTCAATCTGGGCCAGGAAAAAGTACCCCTCCTCTCGACAGCTCTTTAGAAAGCAGCACAAAAGATGGTACCGTTATAATAACCCGCCAACAGCCTATCCACATCCCGGTGCTAGACCAAAAACTTGCGAGAGACGTCCCATCTGTTGCATCTGTGGCAGTGGGAACACAAAGCGAGAATGCTACAAGACCGAGGGCGGCGCCTAATGGAGTGGACTTTTTTGCGAAGTTTGAGTTTATGTAAAGCACGCAGTCGTCTGTTTTAAGATTTTTATAGGGTTCCCTCCCTCCAGATAACTAGCTGTGGGGGAAACGAAGACTGATACCCAAGGTTATACCTCGGGAATATTGGGACGATTAATACTGTACTGATATTGTGAGGAACTTGCTATCCTTTATTGTGTATCGTCGTTCTTTTAGTTTCTTTGTCTTCTTCATTGACAGACGATAAGGTTCATGATCCGTCCTACAGGGACGTTTTGGAAGCCCGTACCAAGATGCTCTTGTGATTTAACGCGACCCACTTGCCGTAAGAGTCACGTAAAGACGGGGGAATGCCACCTTTTGCAGGCGTTTACAGGAACCCGCGCCTTCTGGCGTATTCGTGACGTCAAAGCTCTCAGGCCTTTATATTTCAGCCCACAGGTTAACTCTTTCGTCTAGATACTTTTTATCAATTCGCACACAGCAATTTGAACAAGAGAATATTATAAGCAGAACCGGCGCAAAGACGACATGTCCTCAAAGGCACCCTCAAAACAACCCACCCAGAAACCCCAGGACATGGGTCGGCGTGAAGCGGACACCCAACCTAACCTGTTCAACATGACAACGACTGGAGAAACGGTCATGCAGCAAGCGGACGATTCGAAGGGTCCGAAAAGGGAACCACCGAGGGCTACGCTGACGGTGAGTACAGAGGGTTTGCTGCCATCAGATATCGTGCTAAATGGAAAATCTTTCAGAATATGACATCGGAAGATGATGAGCAGATCTGGGAGAAGGCGCCTTGAAGAGACATATGTGATGAGAGCTTGTGCACTGGTGCATTTGTATCGAGCATGTAAATAAATGAGTTGCTTGCAAGTGCTGGAAGCCTGGCCATTGATAAGCTTACGAAGTGCGCTACGCCATGTTGCACGTGATCGATCCAGGACGAGCCATACCATTCCTACACCGTTAATGTGAGTTCCTCTTGTTCTGTACTCCTCGCCTCTCAGCAAATCAATCATGACGAGTAGATCTGGTGCCGTCGCCCTCCAGACAATAACAATGACCAAGGATCCCTTTCAATCCTACCACTACTATGCTGCTATGATCGACTGCAAATCCACAATAGACTTGTGATTATCCCATCCCTACCCAGTCTAATTTTCGTTTGCTCATGGTGGTGCGCACTAGTTGACTGGGTAGACCAACCATCAAGTATTTTGCCTTTAGCAGTAGTTAGCGTTATCAGGACTGGCCATGACCCAGACCCAATTGGTTCAATCCAAACGGGTGTACTGTATTGTGTGTAACATATTGTATTGCCGATACATTAGGCATGGACGCTTGCAAGTCATGTTTTGAACATATTTCCAAAAATGAACTCACATGCAGGTGCCAAATATGCTCCCAAGACCCTGCCATCGTTTGGACCTGGAGTTTTGTGTTCGATGCAGTGGACTGCAACTTGTGCAAGTCGTTGATGACCTGTCGATTATAAGTCTTGAACACTCGAGTTACAGAGGCTTTGTAGCAAGCGAACCATATGCCCAACAGATTCCCAATTATTCAAGTATCTTGCTATTCACTCTGGATCTAGTGGAGAGTGATAACCTGCGCAGATTCGAAAAGGGTCGGTGCAGCTAGACGTTCCTGCAAAGTACAAGAGCATCACGGTCGCTTTATTGTGGAAGTTATTATAAATTTATAGCCCTGCGTCATGTGCGCAACCACTGACTGACACGCACGGCAGTCATCCATCACCGGCACACGGTTATCTCTTCAAGACCAAATCATCCATTTCCGGCTTTCCTCTTTGTTCTCTCAACCTCTACGTACTGCAAACCATGGCAACTCGAAAAAAGGTTCTCTTGAAAGGTATGCGACTTGATCTTTGAATACATTTGTACGCAGAGGAGTAATACTTGGCCATTTGTGAAGTTATTATTCTGGGTGATAGCGGGTAAGTGCCACTTTGTCGTCATCTGTTACTTTCAGTCCAAACGTACTGTTTCGCACCCTAACGACCACTTCTTCGATATATTAGCGTAGGAAAAACCTCATTAATGAATCAATATGTCAACAAGAAATTCAGTAACCAGTACAAAGCTACTATCGGTGCAGACTTCCTGACGAAAGAGGTTATGGTTGATGACCGACTGGTCACAATGCAGGTTTGACTTCCGTGTACTCGCAAGCAACCGTATTGGTGGCAAATGGGAATTCATCTGGGCATTCTGGTGTCTCTGTATTCAGATATGGGATACTGCAGGACAAGAGCGGTTTCAAAGTCTGGGCGTTGCCTTCTATCGTGGAGCAGACTGTTGCGTATTGGTGTACGACGTCAACAACGTCAAGAGCTTCGAGACTTTGGACAGCTGGAGGGATGAGTTTTTACTGCAAGCTAGTCCCCGCGACCCCGACAATTTCCCTTTTGTCGTGTTAGGAAACAAAATTGACATGGAGGAGTCAAAAAGACAAGTAAGGAGCTGTTAAACTATTGGATGTGCTACCTCGGCGAATGCGAGTCTTAATAAAACTTGCAAATAGGTTTCACAAAAGCGTGCAATGACATGGTGCCAGCAGAAGGGCAACATTCCAGTAAGGAATCCTGTAGCTGTTCCCAGTACGAGTATTGAACTACAGCTACATATCTGTCTAGTATTTTGAAACGAGCGCAAAGGAAGCAATCAACGTGGAGAATGCATTCCAAACCATTGCCAAGAATGCCTTGCAGCAGGAATCGGACGTGGAACTGTAAGTAGAAGAAAAATTGCATATTTTGACAGGCAATCGCTGACATTCCCAATTTTCCACAACAGGTACAGGTGTGTCTCCTATACTGTTAGTGAGGACATGATGAATGCGGAGTAATGCGTAACCGTTTTCCTATGACAGTGACTTTCCCGATCCGATCAAGATTGATGGCGAGACAGGAAGGCAGGGTGGGGATGCGGGCTGTGCCTGCTAGTGTTGGTAACGGGCGTTAGATTTGATACCTGTATGCCGGTAGTGCTTTTTTCAAGTTCTTCAATTGTGTGAATGCGGTGTATATGCACGAGCAGGTATTGGGCCACAGTTCACATGAGATTCCACATCTTACGACCAAAAGAAGATCATTGCTCACAGTCTTTTCGCCGAGATCTGTTACTGCACTCAACAATGCCAGTTTCACTCCGTCCTACAGCACCGTTTTTATGTGACTGTCCGGGGACGGACTTCTGAGCAGCGCCTAGTTTTCTCTGCGTACATTGTTCAGTTGCCAACATTATTCCTCCTCATCTGTGTTGCTTTGAGTGGTCTCATTGATGGCTTCTGTCTTTTGGTGAACAGATGCGAAACTGGTGCATCCACTAATGCAGTGCATCATGGTATGGGTGAACTCCCGATTTGCCATGCTACTGTCCATTTTTGAGCTTAGCCAGCCCTGGGATTCAGTCTTCCAGAGCAATCCTAATATTCCACCCTGGGGTAAAGATGTTCCTGGCGTCATCATCGCTTGAAGCTTTTCAAAGTCGCACTTAAACAATTTAAATATGGCCGCAATGTTGAATGAGGAATGCCCAATATCCCTCAAAGGATCTGTTGGATCCTCCACAACCAACGGGACAATGTCTGTGCGACGAGGAGAGTGCCATGAGCGTGTGTGGGTGGTGAGCAAGAACGGCTTCCCCATCCTAGTAGAAATTCCGTACTCTCGATAGTTGAAGAGATACCCGTAATAGCTCAGGAACGAAAGCAAAGCTCTCGCACAACAGTCTGGACTTTGATTCAGGGTCGGTTGTTGTTGGAACAGAAAAACCAAGAGATTTACTAGCAGATACGAGCTGAAAGACCATATCAAGTTAAAGGACCTTCAATGTCGATGCTTGCATTATCCTTACCCCATTCCACCAGAATAATTATCATTCAAACCAAGTCTCCACAGATAGTTTTTCAGGACCAGGGTTGTGGGCTTCAGTGCGGGGTACTGTTGAAGCCAAGCGTTTACTTGGATACTTGAGTCCATGCCAGCGGAGTTGTTCACGCTAATGTCCACAGGTACGTGCGTGAGCCGTTCGGTCCATTTAAGTACAGGAACGTTTGCGAGACCGATAAGGCGAATGGACTCTCGCACAGGGAGGGTTGAGCGGTAAAGGCACTCTTGAAGTCGCTTCAAAATGCGTATGTTGGATTCTCGTGTCACCTGCGTTCCTTTATCAAATCGCCCGTCACTGCCCAGATCGGCGCAATCGTAGAAAACAACCTGCACAAAACAAAGAACTCTGTTCATAAAGTACAATGTCATAAAAACAGATCTACTAACCAAATCAAGGTCTGATGAGTGCAGGATTAGGCCTGCGAGTACACGTAAGAATTGTCGTCCACTCTACAGTGATGTGTCGGCGGTAACCTACAGGGAACGGTAGCCGAGCTGCCAAAGCAGCATACACGTGCAGCGTCGCCAAGTTCCTCAGTAATTATAGCGCGCGTCTGTATGTGGAGTAAGGATGTAGCTTTCTAGGTGTGCTGCCATATCGTCCAACCTTCGTGATCACCCACGTTCTAAAAGCTTCGGGACACAAGCCAAGTGACGATGAGAGCGCTTTACACTAAGTCGCGCTGTACTTACTGAGTTCTTCAGGGCTAAGACTACTGTCAAGCACAAAGCGTGCAATTTCCTCGTCGAGGATCTTGAAGCGCGATTTCCTGGACATCATCAACACTCCTTCAGTGCAAAAACAGAATGGAAAGCTTGGGCTGAGATTGGGTGGAGGTCTGGCAAGCGTCGTCACGTGGGGCTATAATTAATGTTCGTGAATCCGGTTGGAAACATGGATTCAATCAGAGAACTAGTGACATCTCCGCCTGCGCCTAATCTCTACTATACTACCAGATACAAAGTATACTATCATTACGTTTGCGGCTCGGCCCCCGGTTGAAGCTGCGACGGCGAGGATCCCGCCTTTCCGAAGTAGTTGCTTCCATTAATACCAGCTAAAGGCGTCGCCGGCAACGCAGCTGGTGAACCTGTAACTGGAGCTAATTTCCCTGTTGTCGCCAAGGCAGCGGAGAGAGCTGCTGGTGTCGCAGTTAAAGGTCCCATTCCAACCGAAAGTGGAACGAATGGTCCCCCTACTCCACCTATATTAGGAACCCCCGACATACCGTTAAATGGTCCTGATGCCGACAGAATTGTCGAGAACAGAGTATCCATGAAATTTGGAGCTGCGGCAACTGCGGCTGAGGGCGCACTAACGGATGGTGATGGCGTTGTTAGCACTGCCATTGGGGTGTTAGGAATACTCGTTGCGACCGTCGACGACACTGCAACTCCATTGGACGTTCCACCTCGCTCCCCCCCTGCGCTGCTAGGCTGAGAGGCCGACCCGGATGCATGAGCGGGGACTGCAAGCCCAGATGGCGGACGGCCATCTCCTGTCGTCTTAGGTGCGCCATAAGGTGGTGTTGTCATTCCCATGCTCAGCGATGCATTAGGAGCCACGGGCATTGGTGGGAACGCGGAAGTTCGGTATAGGGCCTCTCGCTCTGCGTCCCAGTAGCTGATTCGATTTTTTAGATCCACCAAAAGAGCATCCGACAAGCTGTTTCCTGTCGTGGCACCACTACTCCCACTAGTGCCACGCTCGATTAATGTAGCAAACGCAACGCTTCCGAGAGACGTATTGCTCGTCGCTGAACCTTCAGCATCAGCTTTTCCAGAATTGTCAATAGAGAGCACCTTTTCTTTGTCAGCATGTCTATCGTATTGCGACAAAGCAATTGCCTTCTCTCTGTCCCCTGGTTCAACATCAGCACCGTCGTCGTCACCGTTACATCCTTCAGTCTCTTCGTTTCCACTTGCACTTGTCTCACGCGATTCCTGCCATAATCCAAAAACGACCTCCTTCAGTCGTTCATTTTCCCCGTGAAGCTGTTCAAGATCTCGTCGCAGCGCATCCACTATCCTAAACACTTCCTCTCTCTCTCTCCACCAGAGCTCCCGCTCCTTGATCCGCACATCCCGCTCTCGCGTAAGTCTTTCCACCATGTTACGAAGTTCTCGGTGTCGATTCTCGGAATCTTGAAGTTGGCCATTTCGAGCATCTAGAAGGGCAGCTTTTACCTCCAGCTCTTTGATATACCGTTGCTTGCGCTCCCGAAAGGCGCGCTGTGCTGCTCGATTTTGTTCTGCTCGTTTGGCTGAAACTTTGCGTGAGTTAGGAGTGCCGGAAGATGGGGTCGGAGATGGTGGATTGTCTGCGCCAGAGTCGCTAATATGTTCACCTGGTCGAGAACCCGGTGATGTTGAAGTCATCCCTTGCGTTGGTGTCATTGGAAGTGGTGTGTGTGTGAGTGATGAGTCCATCTCCTTTCCACTGCAATTCACGCAAGAGAAAAGCTAAGGTTAGTCGTCTTGTGGACAATCATATATCATTATCGATTGTTAGAACGGTCTACTGCTGGGGACATACGACCTGAACGGTGGGGCCACCACAAAGCCATCAATTCCCACGCAGCCTATGCCCCACCTCTCATTAATCCAATATTTCAGGTCAAGCGGCCACCAGATTTCTACTATTGCTCTGAAATCTGGGCGAAAATACCTTGTGATAGAGATAAACAATGATAGATGGTGTAATGGAGCTGAAGGACGCTGCGAGCTGAACGGTCTTTCAGGTAAGCGAAACACCCTGTTACGAAAAAGATCACGTGATATGACTCATCCATCACTCAACAGCGTATTCCTCTTCCATTCACAGATCTCCAGCGGTCGTCATGTCATTGCTCGTGCGCATAGAAACATTCATAACTGCTCCCTTAGAGTCGGCCGAGAGAGCGGAAGCACTGGGTGAAATTACTTCAGGTTAGTGGCTGATAATTTGAGCAAGGTATTGTAGCCGAACACTTCTTGATTTTCCAACTCAAGCAGCTGTGGACAATGGAAGCCTGACCTTTCTCACCCTGGTGGAGCAGTTGGGACCCAAACTAACCAATACGGACCCATTTATTCGCGCGAAAGGTTTTTACTTTCCCTATTTTGAGCTGTTTTAAAGACGCCCTTGGTGACCCTTCCCATGTTTTAAGGCATTGGCCTGCTTTCGTCAGTGCTGAGTTCCTGCACAACTCAGCAATTGGGAAAGAATGTCAGTGAGTAAGGTGATGCACACGAATTTAGAGCATAACCGGAATCTCAGATTCAATGGAACAAAAGGCACGGTTCTTGTTAAGTTTTATTTAGAGAGACTTCAGGACCAACCCAGCGTTGGCGAGCTTCTGAAGGGCATTCATGCCTTGCTGAAGGCTAATGCAGTGGCTTCAGATAATGCACTGCAGATTCCTTCCAGGTATGAATTCGGGCGTACGTAATGAGTCAGATCGCCGGAGTATAGATATTGTTCCTTGTAGAATGTTTTCAGAAATTGCCTTACAAACATATCAACAGACGACCCGTCACATGGCGTTCAGTATTCTCGAACTGCTTCTGCAACACCATCTTACTGGTATGGCATTTTCTTTGCGAATCCTTAAGTAATAAAATCTTGTATTTATCGTGAATGTGGCTTTAGCGATGAAGTTTATGGGAGATGACTTCATCTCGGGTTTCATTCAAGCAATGGATGGCGAAAAAGATCCGCGTAATCTTCTCATGGCGTTTCGTATTGCCAAAGTCTTAATTGAGTCATTCGACTGTACCAAATTTGCAGAGGTGAGACAGAACCTACGGTATGTGTTGGGAAAGTATGCTTACGGTAGTTCTGCGGTCAGGACTTGTTTGGAGTCGTGTTCTGCTACTTTCCGATCACCTTTCGTCCTCCCCCAGATGACATCTATGGAATTACGGCAGATGATCTCAAAGTCGCTCTGCGAGACTGTATTTCGGCGACGCGATTATTTTCCACCTACGCTATGCCTCTATTAATTGAAAAGCTGGCTAGCATCTCTGGCAATGCAAAGGTGCGAAGCGTCTGATTAGACGCAGCAACGTAAAAGGTAATCGTCATGACTTATCGTTTACAATATCTACTAGCGCGATGCTATGGAAACTCTCACAGCGTGCGCTCCAGTGTACGGACCGGAGGCTGTCTTTCCTCATGCTGAGCACCTATGGCATTACCTGAAAGAGGAGGTTCGTTAATATTGGCGCTACACCAGTCGATCGTTATTTGCTTACACTGGCCCCTTCTCAAGGTTTTTAAAGCTGCGGATGATGCAAATATCACAGCAGCATTGGGCTCTATACGTGCAATAACTGCAACTCTCTCGAGCGCGACGGTGATATCCCATGCCATGAAATCCCCACTAGAGTTGTACTTGGAATTTGCTGTAAAAGACTCACTCCACCACCTAACGGATCCAGAGCTAAAATATGCGAGATTGAGTGGAAAAATGTTGGTCGCGGCCGCCTCCTCTTCTGGTATGCATTACCTGATAGCGTCTCGTTTGACTGCGATACTATATGTTTCCTGACCGTATCTTTCTTCCCCAGACCCTGCCTGCCACTATGTGGTGAACGCTGTTCTTCCCTCAGTCCTTGAACAATGCTCTGCTAGAGATATTGCCTCTAGACGCAAAACACTACTTGATGTGGTTGTAGATTTCCTTAGTGCAGGTCGAGAAGTTTATGGGTCAGTCAACACGGAGGCGATGGATGGTAGGGCATCTCTGAGAAGCTGGTTCAAAGACTCATAATCTAATTCGTTTAAGTCGATGATGATTTTATTACTCCGTTACTGGTGTTCAAGGAGAGGGTCCTGGACATATGCATTGCCGCCGCGTCAGCGGCGAGTGCATACGTACCGCTTCGACAAGCTGGATTGCGAGGAATTATTGAACTATTGATGTCCCGTCAATTGCTCGCTGGTCCTGAGGTGAGCGGCAAATTGTTGAAATAACGGAAAGACCATAATTCAAACAGCTGCTTCCGCTGGAAAGGTTGGACTGGCGTTAGGACAACTGCACCAATCGCTGCTGATGGATGCAGACCTCGATGCCAGATCGGAGGCTTTGGTCTCGTTAGTCTCGCTGTCTAGGGTGAGGCCGGACCTTGTGCTGCAGCATACGGTTTCGCAGCTGTTTGCACAACTCCCAGGTGAGTGGGGAAGCAGGTCAAGACAACGTGTTGTAAATCTCTTCCCCTGACGCCATGTACATCACTAGTTGGCAGCTGTACTGAGACGACTCCAAAACTGCTTTCGCTGGAAGAGCTGCTGGGAGATGTTCGAGAATTGTCCGTAGAACGAACACTGTGTGCTCCGGCGTTACAGCGCCTTCTGGAAAGGCTTGACAGTACGTGCGCTGCTTCAACTCGGAAGCTGTACATGGGTTTAGTTACGATTAACTCTGGACGAAAATGTAGGCGTCCGTGAAACCGCAGGTTCTAGTCACGGTGATTTATCATACGCAGAAGCTTTGTCAAGTACTATGCTGCACATCATTGAGCACCGCGAGAAATTGCCGCAGGAGCTAGGGGACAGGAATGATTTCGTGTCAGAAGCCGCTGAGAGCATTCTCTCTCCGTTGCTGTACAAGGCAACGATAGCCGCGGCAGGCAAGGGCGGTATCTTTACTACAACAACCATACTTCGCATTTGGGCGAGCATCTTTTCGTCAATCATGAGGCAATCCACGGTCTTGTGAGTAAACTCATACTTTCCATCAGATCACGACTTGTGAATTCAAAGTACAATATCACAATAGGCTGCAAGAAAAGATTCTCCGGAATATGATAGATATTTACGTCCGGGGGAATACGAGCCTGCTCCCTGAAGCTACGAGAACATTGCTCGGAAGCAGTTCATTCTGTCCATTATCGGTAATGGCATCAGCATCAAGTCTCCTGAACATATAATTGACTGAGATCCCGCATTTGTAGGCCGAGGCGCCGCTGCAGGAAACTAATGCATCTCTTCTCTTTGCGGCTGTTATATGCAGTTGTCGACCTGAGGTATGCCCTTGTGGACATTCAAGGAGTTCGACACAGATCTAATCTGTTGGCCTTAAGGTGACATTGGCAATACCCAGTATCAATGAGTTTTTACAGGATCTTCTGGTTCGGTCCCTGGACGCGAGCAATGAGATCTTAATTGAATCGCTCGCCAAAAGTGTGGCATCCATTCTAAACAAGATGCACGATGGTAAAGAAGGCCATGGAGCTCTTCCATATGTAGTTGTCTCATTCTTCCGGAAAAGATACAGCGGTTTCGGGATTCCTGCAAGATGGAATACTGTCAAAAATTCGTAGCGGGATATCCAATCTGGCTATGGTTCAACAATATAGGCAACAGTACCTGCAAGTTTACGTCTGGGTAAGCGAGATTTTGAACACCCGCTTTGTGTCGTCACTAAGCTGTTTCCTGTCTGTAGCTTGTCAAGGCTCTGGTGTTAAAGTCCCATCCATTGGGGTACGAGCTACTGTCGGACATTCTGGGACTATTGTCAGATGACAGTCTAGGTGCCGCAGCTGCACAAGGAATGGGTATCATCGCAAGCGACCCAACTGATAAAACTTTCACCAGACAGACCTTCGCAAATGTGAAGGTATCGGTGTGCAAAATCAACAGAAAGTGGGCGGATTGGTGGAGTGGTGCTAACATCCTATCTAGCTCCTCCACAGACAGCGCCTCTTTAGTTTCTGTGTGCCACGTCTTGTCATCGGCTTTCAAACTGGCTCAGCGGGTAACCAGTGAGAATTGGCGAACCTTCAAGACTTCGTTCCCTAACAGACACTCTCCTACTACAGCCGCCAAGCAGTGCCATCTTCTTGCACTTTCTCATCTTCTGCAGAATCTTCCGAAACAAGTCGTGTCAAATGCGCTCCCACAGGTGCAGATTGTTAATGGGACACACTACGATGCTATCGATACGACTAACATCGACTCAAGCTTTTGCCTCTGCTTCTTTCCTCCCTCATCCTTCCTTCTCCCGAGTTGAAGCTTGCGACATTGGATACATTTCAAGCTATGCTAAGTGACCATGAGGCCACCCTGTCTGATCAAGCGGCTTCGTTAGTGACATCGCTGTTGAAGATTGTGACAGCCAAAAGTGTTGCCACCGGGGATACCATGGTAAGCGGCTTACTGCCAGAATAACCCCATCGAGGTTGATACTCAATCCAATCCTCAGCATGTCCGGATGGCAGCACTTAAAGTTCTAGGGAAACTTCCCGAGTGCATGGATTATGCCATCCTTCATCCTCTCAAACCGGGAATACTGCGAGACCTGATGAGTGCTTTGGATGACCCAAAGCGACTTGTTCGCAAGGAAGCTGCTAATACCAGGAATAAGTGGTATGAAGAGAGTTGCTGACAACACCTTAATGTTATGTGCATACTCACTGCACTCACTTAGGTTCCTTTTACTTGGCCCAAAAGCAACATAGTTTATTAAACAAATAGTACCCAGTATATGGAGTATAATATAGCCATTCACAAACAGAGGTAGTATAATATAGTAATATATATTAGTAAGAGTTCATGTCTGGTATAATATTCTGCCTCCTATCTATAAATCTAATTAATACTCAGAAAGTATATACAAGTAGAGAGAAGGAGTTTAAAGAATAGTGCAAGCATAAAGCTCCACAAGAGATGTACTTAACTGTAACTGGCTACATCTATACCTTTCTTTTTTTGGCAGAAATTGTTATTGGAAGGGACTGTTATAAAATAGAAGTAAATATATCCAGATATATCTATTTAGAAATTTGGCAAGCTAACTATTAATGGTTATATTTCCATAACTGTTAACCTCTGAAAATATATAAAAATTAAGTTTTACCCTAATCTAAATAATGAGAGTGTGAAGCTACTAGTATATAACACTCTACTCAGAAACTATAAACATAAGAACTTTGTCAAAAAGAGGTATTGGAACATTATTGGATAGCTATACTACAAAATTATAAACATAAGAACTTTGTCAAAAAGAGGTATTGGAACATTATTGGATAGCTATACTACTATCTAATAGAGATACTCAAGGCTTATTGGATAAAGAAAAGAGTAACCAGTTACTATTTCCACAACTATCAGACAATTCTTTTATCACATTATGCCTTATTAAGAGGAGAATTAGCTAGATATTTGGATCTTGTAGACATATAGCAGGTTCTTTTGTAGAGAGCAAGGTTGTTGGCATACTATATATTGGTGCTGGTATTATTCCAAGGGAAACCCAATGCATTTAGGAGAATTAAGATTTTAGCATGTTTATTAAGCAGAGATACCAGCATTTGTCCCCATGGTACTCTCAAATTCTGGTTTTCTGACACATGCACAGAGCAAAGTTCCCTCTATTTTATAAGGAAGCAGACTGGTTTCCCTTGAAACTGTTGAGATGTTGCAGCAACCTAAATGCTGAAAATGGACTATAAAATCTGCCTTAAAGGGATGGCCCAAATAGTCATACAAAGATACATACATGTTAGAGAGTGTGGTGTGAGAATGGCAGAACTGCAAGGGGCAAGTGAGGCTGCAGTTGGACCACTTGGGGTGCTGGAAACAGTAAGGCAATAAAGAACTGTTGTGTTATGAGCCTACTGAGGGAAGCAATGCATACTGATTCACAGACACTGGGCCGATGCTTGGCACAATATCAAAATACTAAGTATCAGCACCCCCAAAAAAAGGATTAAGTGTTAAGTGCAAAATTACCCAAAACCCATAATTATCACCTTACTTTGCCCAGTTTCATTCCCAGCATCAGAGCTCTTTTCTTGTTTTTTGAAACAGTTTCCTAGCACAACTTTCAATGGGTTATCAGCCCTGAATACCCATAGCTGACTTCACAAATTCAAAGACTTGGATCAGATCTTGACACTAAAGTTTCAATTGATACATACTTACCACCTTTGCAAGTGATTGAGGGGGAGGGGGAGGATCAGCTGGTGGAATGGGCATCTGAGAAGGATGTAAGGGATGGAAAAAGGAGGAAAGAAAGGGCAATGGCTTGGATTGCTTTATCACTGGGTGACATTCAACTCATGCATGTTCAGTTGGCACTGACTGCCAAGGAAGCATAAGTTACCTTTTTGAGGTAAATCAACCTTTAGACATACCTCCTTACTAACATTTGTTTCAGAGATGTGTGCCTGCCATTTTGAGACTAATGAACTTGTGCTGACATTGTCCAAGTCCAAACTACTATACTTTAATACTACTGACTTAATACTACTGACTAACTAACTAACTAGACACAAAGTAACTAACAGAAGAACTCTGTTACATGCCCCTGTAAACTCTTGAAATGGTGTTGATTGGTTGCTGAGTGCTGCAGTGGGACTCCTGTTCCTGAGATAGACTGCTGTCATGATTGCCTCACCCCAGAACTTGTAGCTGAGTCCACTGTGGTGCAGCATGCACCTTCCCATTTCCACCAGCATCCTGTTCATCCTCTCAACAACACCATTCTGCTCTGGTGTGTAGGGGGTGCTGAATTGCTGCTGAATTCCCTTCTGCTTGCAGAATTTCTTGAATTCTTTGCCCACATACTCTCCCCCATTGTCTGATCTGAGAGTTTTGATCTTCTGCCCCATGAAGTTGGTTGCCCAGGCCTCAAACTCCTTGAATTTGCTGAGAACCTCACTCTTCTCCTTCAGAAGATAAACTGCCATCATCCTTGACTTGTCATCAATGAATGTGACAAGGTACTTTGCCCCACCATGACTTGGTGTCTTCATGGGCCCACACACATCACTGTGAACCACCCCCAGCAGTAGAGCCGCTCTAGCTGCTTCTCCCTTTGGAAAGGGACGCCTGGTGATCTTTCCAATGGCACAGGCTTCACATGGTGATGTTTCTGTGTGATTCTTGACCTCCAGACCGCTTCCCAGCTGGTTCCTAGCCAAGATTTTGATGCTGTTGACGTTCAGGTGTCCTAACCTGCAATGCCAGAGGTCCAAACTCATTCCAGAGGCTATGTTTGCATGTTCTCTTGTGTGAAACATGTAGAGACCGCTGCCTAGAGTTCCCTGGATTGCTTCCTGACTGTCTGAAGTCTTGATACAGCATCCCTTGCTGCCAAACTCAACTTTGGCACCATTTTCAGTGGCTCTTCTTACTGAAAACAAGTTCTTTTCCAGCTTGGGAACAAACCACATGTCTCTGAGGGTACAGAATCAGGTTCTGCCTGTCTCAAGTGTGATCTGGCCCTTCCCTATTGCCTGAACTGTTCTGTTGTCTGCCAGATGGACTTGAATTGGTGACATCTCTGTGTAATTGGTCATCCAATCCTTCCTGTGTGACATGTGCTGTGAAGCACCCGAGTCCACAATCCACCAGACTGCTCCCTGAGAGGTTTTGGTGTCATCTCCCGACTGAGCAAAGAATAGGAACTCATTCTGAGTTGCCTGACTGGTGCTGGCTTGATTGGCTTGTTGTTTGGTGTCCGCCAGAAACTTCCTGCAGTCCTTCTTGAAGTGACCCTTCTTGTTGCAATAGAAGCACTTCCCTGCTATCTTCTTGGTCCCACCATGCTTGCCAACCTTCTGCCCACCATCCCTGCTGAAAAAGGCCTTCCCTATGCTATCTCCTTCACCCCCAGCTTCCTTCCTGCATGTTTCTTCATGCAAAAGCCATGATGTGAGGAATTCCAGCATCAGAGAATCACTCCTGGCCTCCAAAGACACCACCAGCTGTTCATAACTCTCTGGTAGGCTGTAGAGTAGGGTGATGACTTGGTCTTCTTCACTGACTGGCGCCCCAATAGCCTCCAACTGCTGAGCCATTGTCCTGACCGTGTTTATGTGTCCCAACATGCCCCCAGTGCCGTCTTCCATCTTCAGAGTGAGAAATTTCCTCCTTAGATAGAGCCTACTGGCAATTCCCTTCCTTTGGTGGACATCACTGAGCTTTAACCAGGCCTCTTTTGCAGTTACAGCGGTCTGTACATGCATGAGTTGGGCATCACTCAGTGACAGAGCAATTACTGCCATTGCCCACTCATCCCTTCTCCTCCAATCCTTCTCAGAGGTTCCCTCCATGCTCTCATCCCCCTCAATCACACCCCACAGCCCCTTTTCCTTCAGCAACATTGTTATTTTGAACTTCCAGAGGTGGTAGTTCATGCCATTGAACTTTTCCATTGTGAGTTTGGTGTCCAAGTCCATGTTTGACATGTCTGAGCTGATTTGGTGAGTGGATTTGCTGTTGGGGAAGAGGTGAAATTGTCCTGGTGTGGTAGGTGGTCCAAATATGAGGTTGGGAAGAGGATAGGTCCATCAGGAAGATGGTGTGGCCGTCAGAAAAGAGATTTGAAGCAGGAAAATATCAGTGATAGCTATCAGGGCTCATAACCTATTGAAACTTAGTGCTTGGAACACTGATTTCCTGTGTAGAAATCACTTCTGAAAGGCCTAGTAATGCCTGTGGCCACTAGTAAGACTTCTGGGTGCAGTAACTTGTGGGATAACATGCTTGTATTAATTTCAGAGATGTTCAAAAGCCCCCTTTATATAACCCAGTACATTCTCCAGCCTCCCTCTGCCTTTGTTTACTGTTTACATGCTTCAGCCCACTTGTTTACATGCTCAGCCGTGCTCAGCAGTGCTCACAAGTTCAGCCATGCCTTGACAGAGTTACCTGAAGATCTAGATCATCACAAACCTTCCAGACCTTCTAAGAGTGCTTACATGATGATTTACCCCTTTAAATCATTCCCACACGCGACTGTGATCATTCTGATTACTCTAAGTCCAATTCCCCACGTTGTAACTTAGCCAGATCAGATGTGAACTGTTTTTCGACATTTCAGCATGATCTCACATCATGTATGGATCATACCGCGCGCTTTTAGCCTGATCTCAACATGCCACTGTGTGGAGTCTTCCTGGGCCATAACCAAACTCAAAGTCAAAAGATTGGAAGTTCATGACCCATCTGGCTTGTCTTCTGGTCAAGAAGGGCTGGTTCTGTAGCCACTTGAGGGACTGGTGGTCTGAGATAACTTTGAAGGGTGTTCCTTCCAGGTAGGGCCTCCAAACTCTGAGGGCATCATGGATGGCTAACAGCTCTTGTTCTCTGGTGTCATATCTGGTCTCTGCTGGGGCCATCTTCCTGGAGTGGTAGGCAACTGGTCTCATGCCTTTCCCATCATCCTGTCCAAGCCATGCTCCAACTGCATAACCTGAGGCATCAGGGAAGACAGTGGTAGGCAAGGCTGGGTCAAAGGGTCTCAGTACAGGAGCTTTGGTAACCATATTCTTCAGCTGCTGAAAAGCTTTCTCCTGAGGTTCAGACCAGGTCCAGGGCTTGTCATTCCTCAACAGGTCTGTCAATGGTGCAGCTTGCTTTGCCAGGTCCTTCAGAAAGCTATGGAAGTAGTTCACTAGTCCCATGAACTGTCTGACTTCAGTGACACTCTTGGGGGTGGGCCATTCTTGAACAGTCTGCACTTTCTTGGGGGTCAAGCTTGACTCCTTCATGTGAGACTACATGGCCAAGAAACTCTACTTCTTGCTTGAAGAACTGGCACTTGCTGGGGTTGGCATACAGCTTGTTCTGCCTGAGGGCTTGCAGAACCTGCTTGAGTGGTCCAGGTGGCCTTCTGGGGTCTTGGAGTAGATGAGGATATCATCTAGGTAGACAATGACAAAGATGTCCAAGAAGGGTCTTAGAACATCATTCATCAAAGTCATGAAAGTGGCTGGGGCATTGGTCATTCCAAAGGAGATGACCAAGAACTCAAAGTGACCATATCTGGTTCTGAAAGCTGTCTTGGGGATGTCTTCTGGGTGGATCCTGATCTGGTAGTAGCCTGACTTGAGATCCAGCTTGGTAAAGACCTGGGCTCCATTCAGTCTGTCCATCAGCTCATCAATCCTGGGGAGGGGATATCTGTTCTTGATGGTGATCTTGTTCAGAGCCCTGTAGTCCACACACATCCTCAAAGAAACTTCTTTCTTCTTGACAAAGAGGATGGGTGCTCCAAAGGGGCTCTTGGATGGTCTGATGTGGCCTGCCTCCAGAAGTTCAGACAGCTGCTTCCTCAGTTCTTCTAACTCCAAAGAAGAGAGGTGGTAGGTTGGTCTCCAGGGGGTCTGGTTGGGGTCACTGAGTTCAATTCTGTGATCCACTGTTCTCTCAGGGGGAAGTCCTGGGGGAAGCTCTTCAGCAAAGACATCTTGATAGTCTTCAAGAAGCTTGGTGACTTTGGAATCCATGGTGTCTGGTGGGGTACTGGTATCTTGAGGGTTCTTGAAATACACAGCAAAAGCTGTTGCTGTCCTCTTCTTCAGGGTTCTGGCCAACATCTTTGCTGATACCATGGTGATATTGGGTTCTGGCTTGGGGGTGGTAGGTGCTGGTACAGTGTTGGCAAACCACCTGACTCTGTTAGCGATCACAGGTAGCAGACCTCTAAGCCACTTAACTGCTACGCCACGCGGGTGCATCTTCACTGTGCCACGCGCCACATGCGCCACGCGCATCATTAGATTTCTCTTGCATCGCTAGTAGTATATTCAATAGTGACTTCTCAACATACAATAGACTTACATCTATACAAGAGTATAGTTCACTCTGTTCCTACTCTCTATCACTAATACATTCCCTATAGGAATATACCCTCACTAGCTAACAGACTCTAGGGTGCTGGGAGGTCTCAAAGGTGATGGTTCCCTTCTGGTAGTTGATACTGGGGTTCCTCCAAGCAAACCAGGGAACTCCTAAGATCATATCAAACTTCACAGGTGCCACTATGAAGTCAGATATCTCAGAGTAGGTGCCAACAGAGTACTGTAGGCTTTTAACAAAGCCAGTTCCTGGGTACTTCTTGTTGTCTGCCATGGTGATCTCAGCTCCTGCCAGGGGCTCTACAGTAAGCTGTGCCTTCCTCACAAAGTCTTGAGAGACATAGAACTGGTCAGCTCCATTGTCCAAGAGGATGGTGACTGGGATGCCTTGAGCTGAGCCCTGGACAATGAGGAGGTGGTTCCTGGGGATAGCTGTTCCTGGGGTCCTGCCCAAAGAATATGGGGCAACTTCTGGTTCCTGGGGTACTGGGCAGTTCTGGGTTTCTTGGGTTTTACTGGTGTTCTGGGGTGTCCTGGGTTTCTGGGTTTTTCTAGTGTCCTGGGTTCTCCCAGGGTTCTGGGATTCTCTGGTGTCCTGGGGGTTCTGGTGGTTCTGGGGTTCTGTGGTGTCTCTAGGCCTCTGAGGTTGTCTAGACTTCTTGGGTTCTCTGGTGTTCTGGGGGTTCTGGTGGTTCTGGGTAGTCTGAGGGTCCTGGGTCTTCTGGGTGTTCTGGGGCAGCTCCTTCAAGGAAAATCCTTGAATAGCCATAGTGCAGGGTGGTATAACAAGAGGGTCCAAAGTGTCAAAGGTTGTTGTAACAGGAGAGGGTACCATAGTGTTCAAATCAGGGTGCAGGTCCTTGGGGTCTTCCCCAGTAGAGGGTGGGACCCACTTCTCTACTGAGTCTCCTTGCCATTTCCCTGCTGAGGTTTCTTGAGGGGACAGAATGCTGCTATGTGTCCTGGTTTCCTGCACCTGAAGCAGGCTCCCTTCTTCCTGAGTTCAACCTTCTCAGCTTCAGTGAGTCTGTTGAGCTTGAGCTGGTTGGAGGTGCTGATGTTGTCAATCTCCATGGGGACCACTCCCATCTCTTGAGGCTTCTGGTTCCAGTGGAACTGGGGCTGGTTGGAACCATGGGTGTGCTTCCTACTGTAGGAGTACTGGATTTGGTCCACTCTGTCTGCTACTGCTGCTGCTGTGGCCAGGTTGAGAGTGGATCCTGGGTTGAGTTCCAGCTGCTCTTGAACTCTGGGCTTGAGACCTCTGATAAACTTGTCCAACTTCTCAGCCTCAGACAAGTCATCAATCTCCAAGCAGAGGGTGCTAAACTTGGTGAGATATTCTTGAACAGAGCCCATCTGCCTAAGCTTTGCTAGTTGGTCTCTTGCAGACCTCATAGCATTGGCAGGGAGGAAGTAGGCTCTGAGGGCTGTCTTGAGTTCATCCCAGGTGGTGATTCTTCCAGGCTGACCTTCAGGGTGGCTCTTCACATGACTGTGCCACCAGACTTCAGCATACAGCTCCAGGTAGGTTGTGGCAACCACGAGTTGGGCTTGGGGTGACAGGTTGGTGGCTGCTTGGAAGTATTCTTCAAGTCTGGTGATGTAGGTCCTAAGTTCTTGGACCTTCCTCTGCCCCTTGTAGGTCCTTAGCTTGCTCTGGAGGACTTTGACAAGGGTCTTGTCAACTCTGGCTGAGTCCTGGGGTGGGGTGCTGGTGCTGGCTGGCATGGTGAACTGCTGGAGTCTTGCTTGGTACAGTTGTTCTTTGGCTGTGGTCTCATCCAAGTCAAGGATGGCCTGGAAGAGGGCTTGCTCCTGGGGAGAACTCATCTTGTAATTGCAATATTACTTGCAATAGGGTACAATTCACCAGTGGTGGATGCTAAGTGATAAATGGGAGTTGCAATGTTACTTGCAACAAGGGCTGAACTGTCTGGGATAGACAGGTTTCTAGGGGTTGCTTAGGAGGGAGCTCCTGAGCACAGGTCTGGTGGTTGTTTAGGAGGGAGCTCCTAAACAGGTCTGTGGGTCTAAGTTCTTACTGATCTTGGTGGTGCTACCATGTAACAATTGGCAGCAGGAACAAGAAGACTAGGAAGACTTGGGGAAAACTTGGTTATTCTATTAGAGGGGGGTGTGGGAACACTCCCTTTTTATAGACAAAAATGCCAAGGCTTCAGTTTTATCTCTAACCAATGAAAAGACTTCTAAACTACTGAGTCACAATGTATCCTCCTTATCTTTGCAGCAAAAATTATTTTCTGCAGCTCAGTAAGGGGAATTTGTTTCAGACACGTGTCTCTGACTCACATTTTCCTTTCAGGAGTATGACTTGCCTAATTTAGGTAAATCAACCTTTAGGCCTGCCTCCTTACTAACATTTGTTTCAGAGATGTGTGCCTGCCATTTTAAGACTAATGGACTTGCACTGAAAATCTCTAAGTCCAAACTACTACACTACTGATACTACTGACTGACTAACTAAAGACAAAGTAACTAACAGAAGAATTCTGTTACAGAACTTTTCCATTGTGAGTTTGGTGTCCAAGTCCATGTTTGACATGTCTGAGCTGATTTGGTGTATGGATTTGCTGTTGGGAAAGAGGTGAAATCATCCTGGTGTGGTAGGTGGTCCAAATATGAGGCTGGGAAGAGGATAGGTCTGGTCTGTCAGGAAGATGGTGTGGCCATCAGGAAAGAGATTTGAAGCAGGAAAATATCAGTGATAGCTATCAGGGCTCAGAACCTATTATAAACTATACCCTATATATTTAATAGTTTATCATCTTACAAGGTAAGCTCTTTCATGCCTTAACTTTCATTTTTAACCTATCTAATGATTTATAAGATATTTGAAATAGTCAGGTAGTGACAGACATGTCCTGCATGCCATAGCTTTCTCTGTTGTTGCCTTGCTTTCACACACAAATTCATCTACCACAAGCACTGGACCCCCTTCTTTTAATGGAAGAATCAAATCTTTTCTGTGTCTGGCCATCCCTTGCAGCCAAACACCAAGATGGAATGATCGGCCATGGCATTGTCTCATTGGTGACCTTGCCATGGCACTTACACATGCAATCAAGTGCTTCAGGGCAAGTTTTCTTTGTTGTATTGATGCTATGAGCAACTGTATGGTCCCATCCATTGCTACACTTAGGCCTTGCATGCAGGTTACCAATTCCGACAGAAGTGTCCTCTGTGTGTGCACCCATCTCGATGTTGAAATAGCCTAGAAAAACAAAACTAGTTGCCATGTCTTCATTAAACTGCAAAACAAATGGCATTAAGTAGGGATGCGCACACCCATGTCTTTAAGCGCTTTGTCGATTGAAGCGGCTTGGTCATGGTAGTGCAGGATGGACGTGAGTAGGCCGATGTGCACCTTGTAGTAGTCGAGCTCCTTGGCCGCCTGCGACAGACGATTCAGTCTCCCGGCAAGTTGGAGACGAGTGGCAAGGTTTGAAGGATATACCAACGAGACAAAAGCCTTTAGACGAGACAGCGTGTACCCCGCGGATTTTCGAGTCGTGGTAATCACAATGGGGTAGTCTTTCACTTCGCCCAGTGCCACAGTCTTGTCCGTCAGATGCAAACTTGCGCCACCGGTAATCTTGAAAATGTCGCCCTCGGTGAGTACGCGAACATCATCTCGCTTGCGACTTTCACGCACAAGCGCAGCGATCAGCTCGTTTTGATGCTGTTCATCTTTGGCCTCCAAAAACACGCCGCCTTTCCACTGTTCGACTTTCCCGTAATGCAACTTGTCGTGAAGCAAGTCGAGCGTCAGTTGCACCATGTGTTGGGTACATGCGTTGTAACACAGTTTCTTGGCTTGATCGATATCCTTTTGCGACGCATGGGAATTCGTGCCTCCCAACTTGTCAGGTACCAGCGAACGATAACGCTGTTCTTCTTCACGAGAAGTCCACTGCGCTTCCACCTCCTGCATATGCACCCGAATGCCCGTATCCACCTGTTGCGACACCATGCTATTGCAGGCAGCCCAAAAGTTTCTCAGATTGACGGGAAAGCGCACCATCAAACTGAGCCACGGCACGAGCTTGTAAATCTTGTTGTCGACCGTGGGCGTACCAGTCATCGCCACACAACCTCCACGTGCCAAGCGGGCAATCTCCAATGTTATCGTAGTACGCTGCGTGGCCGCTAGAGTTTTGTGCACCTCATCCACGACGATAAACAGTTCGTCGGCCAGCGATCGTAATAGATCCGGAAGCTTGCGCAAATCATCGTGCTCGATCAACGTAATGACGTGCGGCCTAAGTCCTTGTACGTTCGCCTGCTTCGTGACGCCTTCCGGAATGACCTTTTTCGAACTGTCCTTCTGCGGCAGCATCCAATCCACTTGAAAGCCAAATGCATTGAGCTCTCCCGATACACTCTCGATTGCCTCGCCAGGTAGGGTCCACACGATATGACGCGGCAGTAAACCACGTTGTGCGAGATGCAAGATGTAGAGCGAGACGATGAGCGTCTTTCCGGCGCCCATAGGAGCGTGCAAGTAATGATTGCGACGACCCTTTTCGCGTCGAACTTCCATGTCTCGCACGGCCTCCTGTTGATGCAACCACGGAGCAAAAGGCGATCGCCATGCAGTATAGTTCCACTGGCCACCATCGCCATTGGCTGCAGCTGCAGCGTGTCCGAACGCCGCATTGGTACGTTGTTCGTTGCGTCGATTCTTGACAAGTGTCTGGATGCGACCAAACAGAAACCACAGAAGCGGGCCATTAGGGACTATAAAACAATTGAGACGATGAGGTATAGGGCGAAGTGCACCTGGAAACAGAGTCGAAAAACGCAACAGCCAGCGGTAGGTGAACGCATCCCACAGGTTGACCTGGTACTCCATGCCGGCTCCGTCGCGTGCAATGTCATTGAGCGCCACGTCACGGTTGAAAGTATCAAGGTAGTACAAGACACGATTGAGTACGGGTTCTGGAGGAGCGGCAATCAGCTCCTCCAGACCTTGAATTGCTCGCTCCTGAATTCCATCGCCGTGGTAGCTCAATGCCACTTCATCCGCATCCGATTCGATTCGCGAATGCACGGGCACCTGTAGTTTCAGATGGCGCATTTCGTTCCACAGCGTGCGATCGCGACCGTTTTTCGTCACAATCCAGTACTCGTTTCTCTGCACATCCCACACGGCCGAGCAGACCTTGAGTTGCGGCACCGGCGCTGGAATGGAGCGGAGGGGTACACCTTGCGCCAAGATCTCGCGCGCCTCTGCATCGCTCCTCCTCTATCGCTCTGAATCTG